GGTGGTCACAGGGTTGTTGCACTTCTTACATGGTAGCTGGCTTCCCTCAAACTGAACACTCCAAGAGATCCATGTGGACATTGTAAGGCTTCTAGGATTCTTGAACATCGTAAGCCTTGCAAGACCCAAAAGTCATGCAATGCCACTTCTGCAATATTCTATTTGTCAAAAGTGAATCACAGGACTAGTCCAGATTTAAGGGGATAGACTACATAAACATGTGAATACTAGGATGTGTGGTTAATGGAGGGCCATCTTTGGAGCCCTTCTCCTACAGATGGGAAAAGATGAGTGATACAATTATCTAGTTTTTCAGGATAGACACATATTGCTTAATAAAGATCTTTTCTTAAATTCTCTTCAATTTCCCTTTGGCTACCAAACTGGTAGTCTTTTTGATCAGCAATATAACCCCTCACTGAAGAGTCAAAATGGTAGTAGGAGAGACATTTTCTGTAGGATTGGTAGAAGCCAAGCCAATGCTACTGGCCTAGTGGATTCTTTAATCCATCTCATGTCTCCGTTGTCGTGATGACCATGGTGGCTTCATTATGCCCATCTTCCTCCATAGCACCCCTTGAACATAATTTAGAGATGACAAATAATCCCTTTCCTCTTTTTTGTAGGCATCAGAGTAGAGGCAAGCTTCAGCAACAATGGGCAGAGTGTAAATGCTTCATATAGTCCATGACAGATTATGCTTAACCATAATATGTTGACCTTTTCTGAATGCTTGGTCATTTTGCTGGACATTTCCTTTCTCTGCAGCTAATGGCTTCAGTACTCTTAGGAACTGATTCAGTGGATAATTATAATCTCTATTCAGAGTGTTGCAAAGGTCAACTAGATGAAGCATTAGATGCCCATTCCAAGTGTAGTCCTGTGGCAACTTTTCTGAAAAAGCTGCTTGCCTCCAGCTTTGCAAGCAACTGACTAGGCTGACACTACATTATGACTGGTTATCAAATCAGAAAAATCATAGAGTTCTTTTCACATCTCTGGGTTCAGATGGGAAGAGAAAATGGAAGGCAATCAAGTGGCTTTATCACAAAATACCATAGGATGGAGGAAAGGCCCTTCTGAGCAAAGAGTCATTGGAGAAACACTGTTTCTCATCAGTTCTTATTTCCATCAACAGTAGCTGCCCACCAGCAGAGAGTTTAAGGGCTGTGTTGCACTAGCTTGCAGAAAAGAATAGTTTTCTAATCTCTTTGAAGAACTCTGAAGTGCAGGAAGAAGAAAGAATCCTATACATGCATGTATTTATCTTAGAAGTGAGAGTTCAATGCCCTATCGCTGTGCCTTACCACCTTTCTTTCAAAATAAAAACACTGCACATCAATCTTTTGAGCTAACGTTAGAATACCCTTTTATGGCTTACAAAATCCTTTCATGTACAGCCCTAAATTACCACTTTGTTTGCCTTTCAAAAGCCTAACCTCTCAGCCTTCACAGATTGAGTACTTACTTCCACTTTTAAAGTTTAAAATCATGTAGCTAACTTGTTTGGACTTAATGTTTTTAAAGCAAGACTATTGAATTTTGACATAAAATACCTTCCTATATATTTTCATTATTTGATTTTTATTTTGTTTTGTTGTTCCAATCTCTGAGAAAATCATAGTGCCCTTCACAACTCTGTTAAATTAGTATCAATCTCTGAGTTGATTATGGGATCTATTTAGTTCATCTAGAAGGGAAATATACAATAGCACATGCCAATATGATTATATATTGAAATATTAAAATGGTGTAAATATAAAATGAGAAAGGTAGTTAAAGAAAGGTGCCCAACTATGTTACTCTAAGAAATAAAGAACACCAGCTTTAGCTTCATTGTTCAGAGAGATTTTAATACTGAAAACACTACCTCATTAGAATCTGAGGTACATGGAATGAAATTATAAAATGGGATATGATGTTAAAGTATGGCATACAACCACTGATGCTGGGTGTCCTGAACATGTTTCAAGGGACTCCCCATCAAAAAAGGATAAGAGCCATGCACAGTGGCATGTGCCTATAGTTCTAGCTACTCAGGAGGCTAAGGTAGGAGGACTGCTTGAGCCCAGAAGTTCAAGGCCAGCCTGGGCAACATAGTGAAGCTTGTCTCAAAAAAAGTTTAAAAAAAAAGATAAGAAGAGACTTGTTTCAAAGAATTAAAGAGAGAGGAATTGAAGGAAAATTTGACGGGAGCAGTTTAGACTACATTATCCCCCAGAGATCAGCACTGTGATTCAGGGATTAAAATAATGTTTTTAACAAACTCAACTGGTTAAAAAATATTGGCACTGCAATTTGAAATTACTCTTCAAAAGTAGAACATTTACATGGAATTTATTATGAACTAATTCTTTTCTAAATGTGCTTCTAACTGTATTTTTAAAGCTCTCTAGCTGTTTTAGGTCTCCCTAAAAAGAAGTTATCTGATTGAGTGAATAGGGCATCTTTCATTCCTGATTCTAATCATTCTGTTAAGGCTGTTTTAACATGGCTAAGATCTTTTTTTTTTTCTTCTTTAGGATCTTAGGTTAAGAATTCTAGAGGATCCAAAATATTGTGGATTTAATTTTTCTTGTCTGGCAGATTAGAATACAATAATTCTAATGAGGAAAAAATATAGAAGAAAAGCAAGTTCCCGGTCCTTATGATAAATAACATATTGAAATATTTTATTTCAATTCAGATAACTTCATTTATTCATTAAATAGTAAAATTAAAGTTAATTTAGGTTATATTTCAGGCAATTTACAGAGCAATACTATAGACACAATGACTTTAAATATTATATAATCAACATATCATGAAAACCAGTTCCTGTTTTCAAATTAACAAGGTGTACTGAGCAAGGCTTCCTCCTGAAGCTCTTGACAGAAAAAAAAATATTCTGTGTAAGGAGATATCATGGGTGGAAACTACTTTTGAGATACTTATAGATAACTAGGTTATAAATCTCTCTTTATTAGTGTGACAGAATATAAGATGGAACCCAATGATCCTGTCCCCTTGTAATCGTACTTTTCTGTATTCCCCTGTTTTAGTGTGGATGAAACCTTCTAAACAATAAAATATAGTTCCCTTTCCAGAAATGAACAAATAATTATGTTGCCACTGAGCACTGCTCTCGAGGAATCTAGCATTTGTCATGCAGCCTTATGGGCCCATCCATTCTCCCGCCCACCCCACCACTTCATGTTTTTGCTCTCACACTTATCCCCCATTCTTGTGTTTACCTTTTTACTGTTTCTTCTTAAGGTTCTAAGCCTCTCTGTCTTAGTCAGTGATTGTTTGGACTCAAAGAATATGATCTATTCAAGTCACTTTAAATAAAGAGAAATTGGGAATAAATGTAGCAAGCCAGTCTCAGGGTGGAATCATAAGGTGATTATGTTCTTTTCCCCCATTGCCCATTAGTAACAGCTCCCCGGGACCAGTTCTTCCTTAGCCCTCAACAAAATCTCAGGCAGGTTCCATAACCATGTTGAACAGGTTCAAAAAATTCTCCAGATTCAGAAAAATCACTCATATACTTATAATCACAGGAATTTGTAATCTACAATTAAGATGTTCAATTGTCATATAATAGTCAAAACTCTCAACTCCACAAAACTTCTCTCTTGCCCCTATTTCAGGCCTAGGAAGCCTGCAGGGGGTTAAAGGGCACTGTCAATGTTTTTTTCTGTTGCCCCAGCATTCTGCCCTAGCTTTAGCTCCTTCCAGATTGAAATGAAGCCAGAGTGGTTAAGGTAAAGAGCAGGAAGAGTTCTCACTTGATTGGCACCAATGTGATCTAGTGTTGGTTTGCTCTATCCATGGAAGATAATGCAGGTGGACTCTTTCCCTTGTGGTTAGGTGCTTTTGTGGCTTCCCGTGTGCTGCCCTCCTGCTCCCAGCAGCACCATCATCCCAAGTGTTCTGAGTCTTCATGGAGTGCTAGTCCTCTTCAACTGTCCTGTTGATTTTTCTCTGCCCCCACCCCACTCCCTACCACATGGTCCAGCCCAGCCAGAGCGAGTGGGCCAGCCACAAATCAGTACATGCTAGAAAGGTGACTTTTAGAGACTTCTTCAAGGGAGCAGCCTTGGAGCAGATCCCCTTTGCCTTACTCATTAGAGCAATAAATCACAAAAGCAGGTAATTAATTACAACCTAAAGTAGAAAAAGTCAGCTCCTCTTTGACAAAATGGCAACTGACCTTTCTCCTACTCGTGATAAAAAAGGAACAGAGAAAGGAAGGAGGAAAAACTATTATAACCCATAATATGATTTTTTCCCACAAGGGTTTCAAAGGTTTGGGTTACTTGGAGGAAATGAAATAAAACATCATACTACATTGTTCTGCTTTTAGCTATGAAGTGTTCCCTATTGTGAACAATATTTCCAATCAATGTGTGTCTGAAATATTTATCAGCCCAGAGTCCTGGGCATTGTTACCAGGGACTTACTAAGCTACATAGTATGGGAAGTGATGTTTGTTGGGATGTGTTTTTATATAAGAAACCTACAATGATATTTTTCTTTCCTGATACTGATCCTAAGAAGATAATGACGCTCCACAAATTGATAGAATTTTTAAAAATCTCTTCCCCTGACATCCAGAGAAATTTTTAAGCAACAAAGAAAAGTAGGCTAAAGGAAAATCAGAAGGGGAGAATCAATTTTGAGAGCAGTGAAAAATGTAGAGACTGATTGAGTTGATGTTTCTAAAACTGTTCTTCCCTCACAGAATTTTATTTTAGGGCCCTGCTGTTTGGCAGCACAGATAATATCACCCAATGTAAACCGCCTAGGCAGCTTTCAATTGGGTAGTTTGTTACACTTGGGAAACACTTGATTTTGGTTTTCTATGTGTTCTCAGAGCCCACTTCTGAGCTGTTTAGTTTACTCTGCCCTGGGAGTCCATGCAACATTTGCCATACATTTCATCTTGAAAGAAAACAGTCACTGCTTAGAGTCCAGGCTCTGTGAATTTCATAAATGTTTGTTTTTCTCTCTTACAGAAGCTGCAAAGAATCGATACTCCTCACTGTCATTCAGCCTTACCCTGTAAGTATTTTGTGAGTAAAAGTGCCACTGAATGATCCCAGACTTCTAATCTCCTCTGCCCACTCCGGTAAAACCACAAGGATAAATAACAGCAGAGAAAAATAACGTGCATTCACAATATAGGTTTAAAAAAGTCTTGAGTATTGTACTTTATACTCCAGGTTAGCAAAGTCGTTATAGGAGAGAAAACAAAGTAATGCATTTCCTAAATATCTTGAAAGGCAATTTGCAACTCAGTCCTACGCAACTGTCACATGTGTAAATCACACCAGCCTCAAGACTCTCTTATGGTTTCCAGCTTAAGAATTAGGAATATCAAACTGTAGGAGATTGAAGCAAAATTGTTATTTTTTTTTATTTAAAATTTTTAAAAAATTATATTACTTTTTTTATTTTTTTATTTTTTTTTATCTTTGTGTCCTGTAGTTTACCTTTTGAGACAATTGTTATTCTTATCCTCATCTAAATAATTTGGCAGAGAACTGGATGTTTTAGAAAAGCCTGCTTTAAAAGTAGATATTAGAGGAAATGTGGCTGTCAGAATTCGATTTTAGCCACTTTGGTTAGGAAAGTGGAAAGTGATTAACAAATTGGACTGACTTCAGTTCCCATGATTTTATTTTTAAACAACTTTATCATGGTATAATTGGCCTACTATAAAATGCACCCATTTTAACTGTACCATCAATGGATGGTCTTTATAAAATGAACAGAGGTATGTAGCTATTACCACATCCAGTCTGAGAACATTTCCATCACTCCAGTAAGATTCCTTGTTCCCATTTACAATTAATCCCTGTTCCCCCCCTCAGTCCCAGGCAACCACTAATTTACTTTCTATTTCCATAGACTTGCCATTGCTTGTGAATTTCATACATTGTCAGTTGAACTAAAAAATACCGAGACAGATTCCTTCAGATTTTTCCCAAAGTGGTTACTGTCAGTCTGGCCTTCATATGGAGTGGCACAGATTCCAACCTGCTTAAGTAGCTATTTTCTTCCCGGTAGAGTTAGAGCATTTCTACATCAATTAAAAGGCTCTGGTATTTACCAGTCTCCATCTTCCGACCAAACTCTTCATGTCACCTGCCCCAGAATTTTTCTCCTAAGCACTGGGAGCTAGGCACTTTAGGCAGGAAATAATACACATTCAGGATTCCAGTAAGATCACAAATAGAATTAACCAAGACAACAAATTATGCCATCCAGGACATAACTATGTACATTAAAAGCTCAGTTTCATCTTAACTGTAACTTATAGCACCAACTCTTTGACAGAATTTACATATACACATTTGGGCTTAAAAACTAAGGAAGCCCCAGGATGTAATAGAACCAAGATTTGAGATCTAGCTCCCTGCACTGTAATGGGTGACACTGTAGCTGTGCAGAAGCTCCATCTCATCATCCATATGAGGAAGGGTGAGATCGCATCTTGTCCAAGGGCCTTCCCACGCTACCATCTCATGAGTCCATGATTCTTTCCATGTGCTTTGATATAAAGTACAGCTGGGCTGTTTTTAGATAGTTTTAGTTAACCAAATTGTCATTCTCACCTACTTCCAATCCACCCACACTTCTTAATTTGTTTGCAGTGGACAAAAAAAAAATGGTAAAGCCAATGTAAATGTCTATAAGCGTGTGATTGAGCAACTATAAATTCCTGGTGGAACTTCACGTTTACATCATCTTTCCTGAATTCTCTCTCCCCATATTTATAACCTATTAGAAATGCAAGAGAACCATTTTAGTCCAACCCAGGTTATTTTTGCAACATTGGGTACTGTTTTACCCCATGCAGTAAACTTAGAGATAAAGGAGTTTTGCATTTAAGTTTAAGGTTGTGTCTTGTGCCTTTGCTTGCTCTTTTTGCCATTTGACTCTGTGTGACTTGTTATTCATTTGAATATTCATTACTATCAGTGAATCATGGAAGTTCCTTTTAACAGATAATCTACAATTTCCTAGGAGTTTGAGTGGCTCTCACTTTGTGCTATATTGAAAGGCAACATTTAGCCATAACATTTAGGAGCAAGTGTTGCATGTTCTTATGGGCAACAGCTGTACCTCTGCTCAGGGTCACTCTGCCCCTGCTTGCTCATTGCAGATAAATTCTCATATTTGACTTTCCTTTGACCAGCCCTGCTTTATGAAATGACTACCACATACTCTATTCCCACTACCTCCTTGGCCTAACCAAATCCTTCTCACCTTTCATGTCTAAGCCCAAATTCTAAATGCTACTTCAGGGGTTTGGAACCTTGGTACTGTTGACATTTGGGCTGGAAAATTCTCTGTTGTGGGGGCCATCCTGCCTTGTAGGATGTTTAGCAACAACCCTGGCCTGGACCCATTAGACGCCAACAGCAACCTCTCTTCAAATTGTGACAAACCAAAATGTCTCCAGATGTTGCCAAATGTCCACTTGGAGCAGAATTGTCCCTAGATGGGAACTGCTGTCCTACCTAAAGCCTTCCTTTATTGTTCCAGTCCAGAGTGGCTTTTCCCTCCTCTGAACTGTAGAAGTTGAAATAAAGGAATTGAAACCTCAAAGTTACTTAAATAGATACGCTGACATGGAGAGGAGAGCAGATGGAAGAAGAGACTGCAGTTTTTACTTGTACTTTTATGTTTGGATTTTCCTACAAGCAAATTGCTTTTTGTAAAAAAAAAAAAAATTTATTGGGTTTCATTTATTTGCTAAACATCCTCTTGGCAATCAAGATTGACATACAGAAACAAATGACCCAGCAGACCAAAAAAAAGTTCATAAATTCTACTTTTATTACAGATAATAAAAATTAGCATTTAAATTTCTTTTGCAACTTTCTGGCCAGCATTTTTCACGTTGCACCAATTCTGCATGGTAAGGGCTAATAAAGACAGAGAGCCAATATTTACACTTTCCTGCCACATTCCACATATGCCCAGGACACCTAACATCACCCAAACACAGAAATCCATCTCCAATGAGGCCCAGGTCAAGAGGGCCTGGAACAAGAGTCTTAGGATCCCTGAAATTCTTTGATAAGAATTATTTCTTAACAGGTTGCTGCCTCATTTTTTTTTTTAGTATTATGGAGGGCTCCCCCGTCCCTGCCCAGTGGAAATACAGATCCAGAAAAGTATGGGTTTATGTTTATATACAACCAGTATAAACATTTTTACCTATTTCCTTCCAGTCTTTTTTATGCCTTCATTGAGATCATATTGTATGTATAATTTTATTGTGTTTATTTCACTAAATGCATCAAAATCCTTTATAAGTATCATTTAAATGGCTGCAAAACATTACATTGAACTTAGATGGACTACATGGAACTAGATGAACTTAACCAACACCCTATCTTTGGGCCCTTCACACTATCTTTAATGTTTTGCTATTATAAATAATTCTGCAAAGAAGATCTTTATGTATGAGCCTTTATCTGTATTTCGTAGTATTTCCCCAGGATGGAATTTTAGAATGAGAATTTCTGGGTTACTCATGGATTTTGTTTGTTTGGTTCTAATAAACTATCTTCTTTCCTTGTACTGTTATCTTTTTCTTTTTTTTAATTTTTAATTTTTTTTCTTTTTTTTTTTTCTGTTTAAATTTTTTTCCTGGACGAGGTTCTGGGGCCCCAAGAGAGGGGGGCCCCAGAAGTTGCCCTGTTATCTTTTTTTAACGAGGGGCCTTTCATTGACCAACTCCATCTTTTTTTTCCTTTGACTCTGCCTTCCACAGTTTCCAAGTCTAGAACTTCCCAAATTCCCTAGTCAATCTTACCTGAAATGGGGAGTATTTAAAGAGTTTCTACAACCTCCTCTCACACAACCCCAACTTGATAGGACTTGGGTTAAGTCACTCTCTCTGTATTGATGTCCCTGAGCTATCATAATTTACATTCCCTTTGGTTTCTTCTAGTCCAAAGAGCTGAGGGACTTGCTTGCCTGCCTCCCACTTCCTAACTACCTTTCCCGTGTTTCACATACCTGAGAGAGGCTACACACCTCCTCGTGGAAACCCCAGTGTAGCAAATGCAGTCAGAGCCCAGATCACATTCCCTTGGCATGTGTCATGCCGAGACCACCCGCCTACGTTCCAATGGAGAGCACCGGTGATTGTTTGCCTGGGGGGATTTTCTGGCCCCAGGAGTATGCTCGTGGAGCAAGCCACAAGTGATGAGGAACTATCACTCCCAGAAGGGCAGCATTTTATGTTTTCTTAGGTGATGGTCAGTCAGGTGTGGCAATAAGAGGGGACATAGGAGAGGTGCAGGGGGGAACATGTTATACTCACAGCTCCTAGAGAGACTGCATGCCAACAGGGGTGCTCACCTGGGAGGGAGTGCAAAGGAGCAGACTCAGCCAAACAGGTGGGGAGCAGAGAGAGAAGGAGAGCCCGGGGGGCAAATGCCTTTGTCAGGGGTCAGACTGGAACACACAGGAAAAGGTGCAAGAGGATTTCCCTGAAGTGTTTAAATGTCACTAGTTCACAGTCAGGGGAGGATAAGAAGGGAAACTTGTGGCAGGGGCCCACCTTGTCACACTAGCACATGCGGTCACCTGGGCAGGGTGCTCACAGCCTGTTTGTGGGGATGTTGAGGCAGCATCAACAAAAATATGAAGTTTTCAAATTTACAATACAAACAACCACTCTAGCAGTGACTGACAGGAGGGGTGGATAAATACCCCGGCTCCCTCTCGCCTCAGATAGTATAATTCTGAAGTCTTCCCTTTGCCAGAGGTTCCCAGCAGGAGCAGGTTCCAGTTGCCTGCAGTGATGCCTTAGTTAGCAGTGAAGACTTTATTAGTAGTATTAGCTGACTCCCTCTTCCTCTCTCCCTCCCCTACTCATCTGCCTGGGATTCCTGGGAACATCTCCCAAACCAGCTAGCTGTTTGTGACTCTTTGTCTTAGGGTCTGCTTTTTGGAAACTCCAAACTAAGTCAGCCAGTGATGACTGTAGGCTAGTCCTCACCAAATATTCCCTCAATGTCTGCAATGTAAGTTGTATTGTAGAGCTACAGGACTTACAAGTTCAAGACCTGACACTTCAGTTTCAGAAATTAGTCTTATTTATGGAATTTTTTCAAACTGTATTCCGGTAACTTCTAAGAGCATCTAAAAGCATCAAGAGCATGCCACACTCTATTGTTGCCACTTTAGCAACAGCAAATTTGGAAAGAGGTACAGGGGTTGATTAGGGGCCTGCTAATTTTAACATTAATTAACATCAGGAGAATCGGATTATTCTAAATGGTAATTATTTGTCATTTCCACCACAGGATATGAAGTGCTTGTGATCAGCACCTACAGGTTGCTAAAAATTAATTCACCAGGCTTTTGAGAGGTGCACATTGTGTATTTTTTGAGCAGCAAAGAGATACCAGAGTTAAAACTGTAGTCACAACTGCTTTGAACTACCCCATATACCACAAGTAACTCCCATCAGTGAAATAAGCCATTACTTTATTATTTCTCATTAAGTAGCCTTCAGACTTGGAGAACTTATGGCTCTATTATCAAAAAGTAACCTTAAAAAATGTATGTCCATTATATGAAACAGTCACAAACCCAGGACAAGAAAAATGCACTTGTAGATTGTTAGTTAGAAGTTCATCCTGGGCTGGGCGTGGTGGCTCACACCTGTAATCCTAGTGCTTTGGGAGGCTGGGGCAGGAAGATCACTTGAGGCAACATATCGAGGTATCTCTTTAAAAAAAAATGTAAAAAGGAAGTTTATCCCAAGTCTGTTGACTTCAAATTGTGTATAAAGTAATATTGACTTAAGAACCTTGGCTGTCTAGTTTCCTTTGTGCTTTTCCTAGATGACCATGTTTGTCAGGATGACATGGTAAATAAATATAGGAATGAAGCTACACGAGGTGGGCATGTTATAGCTAAAGAGAAAAGAGACAGGCACCCCCAGCATGGCAAATTTTACTATATGGGGCTATTTACTTTAGGGACAAATAACGCTATGTACTTCCAGGACCCCTGGAAACATCAGTGCATTCTAAGATTATATCAAATGATATGCATCAAAAATCTAAGTCCTGTTAAATGTACTTTTTATTGAGACAAGGAATTATGTAGAACATTTTAGAAAAATATGGTAAAATATTAAATTTAAAAATCGAGATGGATAGCGGAATAAACCTTCGTCTCTGGCACACTGAACATGTGTGAAATACTTCATTCCCAAACAATGCTGGAGAAGTGGGGTGTTACTGCATTAAAACATCTCATCTAATTAGAAGTGTCTGTTCTGGGTAGCTTTATTACAGCTGCTTCACTCGTGTTCAACTCATTGTGCCAATGTAAATACCGCCTGCTCAGAATCATTATGGGAGAATAATGTTTTCCCTTCAGCGAAAAAATGACATATCAAAAGCAAATGAATTCACCACTGTATGATTTGCTCGTTGATCATCACTGAACTTTGCCTTTAATTACAAAGATACTGATAAGAACCTTGCTGTCGCACCACTTCAGTTCTGCAGCAGGACTTCTGAATCCTACGTGGTGCGTGTTTAAAGCTATTCTTTTTGGAGGAGCAGCCTTTCAGAGTTCTTTTTAATTTTTGCTCTGTTTTCTTAAGAGGGCAGCCATTCTCTTAAAACATCTTACATAAATGCATGAATTCAAGTTCTGGGGAACAAATCATCCAACCATCCTGTCTTCTAAGACACTGCTCATAGCAAAGGGTGGGATAAGTATGGAGAGGCACTTTAGAAATAACAGGATTCTCCCAGTATTAAGGCAAAAACCCCATCCAGGAATACACACACACACACACACACACACACACACACACACACCCCACACACAAACACATGTTGTATCATATTTTTAACAATGATTTTTATTATAGTAAAATACACATAACATAAAATTTACCATTTTAACAATTTTAAAGTTTACAATTCAGTGGCATTAAGTACATTCACAGTGTTGTACAACCATTGCCACTATTGTAGTTCCACAACTTTTTCATCACCTCAAAAAAGAACCGTGTACCCATTAAGCAGTACTTACTCCCTGTTCTCCCATTCACTCCTCTCCCAGCCCCTCACAAACTATTCATTTACTCTCTGTTCCTATAGGTTTGCCTATTCTGGGTACTTCATATAGATGAAATCATATAATAGGTGGCCTTTTGTGTCTGGCTTCTTTCACTGAGCATAATGTTTTTCAGGTTCATCCATGTTGTAGCATGTATCAGAAGTTCATTCCTTTTTATGGTTGAATAATATTTCATTGTATGGATAGCCCACATTTGATTTGTCTATTCTATCATGTTGTTTTTAATTTAATTGATCTTATGTATATTTGTATTTGACAAGGATGAGAATTTTTTTTTTCACTTTACTTGGAAACCAAAGTATGGGTCACCTTATTTGGCTTTTGTGTCTTGAGATTAATACAAAACATAGAAAGTTAAGCCTCTGTAATGATTCTAGAATCAATTATTAGAATTCTTTATGTAACAGCCTCAATGTCTTAGGACTATATAGCATGGAAAACATTAGTTTGAACCATGGTAGTTACCAATATGTGACTATTTTAGTCTATAAAATAGCATTTGTATGATTCGAACTAATATTTACTTCTATATTTGGGCTTAATAGAGAATGCAATTCTTTTTAAAAATAAAGAAGTGATGCCTGGCTCATAGTAGACATCTATTAGATGTGAGTTCCCTAAATCTTAGGCTTCATTAAAATAATGCAATAAGGATGATTGTTAGATGAAATGACTTTACCAAAATCATGGAGCACCCTTCTAAGCAGGTTCTCCCATGGCAATTCTAATTTCTGCAGAATAACTGTGTCACATGGCCCCCTGTCCAATAAAAGAAGGGAGAGGATCATAAAGTGCAAAGAACCTATAAGATGAGGCAGATTATGAAGTCAACTTTCTATCATAAGTCAAGGTCTCATCTCTACCCTGCCCAATAAGATCACAAGTTCCCAACAAGAGGTTGAAACTCAGATTGCAGGAACATAAAGCTTGAGTGCTTAAGAGAGGAAAAACAGTATACCAGATTTTTGGTGCATGTTTGTGTGTATGTGTGTGTACTTACCTTTTCACGTGCTCTTAATGTGAATAACAATGGAATTATCTATCATTTTAGAATTGTCAATGGCTTTTCTCCACTTCAGTAAAATAGATAATCGATAATGAACTCATCATAAACCTGACATTTGATTTGACCACCACCTCACCTTCCATACTGTGCTTAAAGTTCTATATTAAAAGCAGGGTTTGTGTGCTTTTGTGGCCATCATTTTAAAAGATCCCTGGAAATGTGCTCGGTAAGAACATGGAACATGCTATTGGTAGTTCTGGCCTGCTGACTAAATCAAATTTACTAATTTATGGTCATAACAGGGTTTCCACTGTGTCCATATTTGCATTTCATCCTTGAATTAGGCATGTGCTAAGCACTTTTTTAGTAAAAATATAACATATCTGGGAGGATAAAGATGTAAAACAACTGTTACAAGGTTTGCATTATGTTGCCAGTAATCAGATAAAATATTTTCTTTTCTTCTAGTCTCCCAAATCAGCATTTATCAGTGCTGCAAAAAAGGCAAGATTAAAGTCCAATCCGGTCAAAGTGCGCTTCTCTGAGGAAGTCATCATCAACGGCCAAGTGTCGGTGAGTTTCCAGTCACCTGCTTTGTGATAGGGTCCCACTGGAATGATCGATCCAGAATTGTTGGTTTTTACAGAGGTATCGAATCTCAGGACTCTAAAGGGCTTGAGAAATCATCAGGCTGTGCCTGAATGCCCTCTACTGTGGCCAGAATGTGTGGTAGTCCAGTAGTTCCCAGAAGGCTCCCAGGGTTAGAGACCTCACTACTTTGCAAAGCAGTTCATTTGATTTGGGATCACTGACATTGCCTCATTCATATTGAGTAAAATAGGCCTCTTTGAAACTTCCACCTAGTCCTTTCCGTTCTGCCAACTAAGCATTCTTCCATAAGATAGCCCTTTATGTATTTCTAGAAAGTTACTGTCTCCCCTAAGTTTTTCCTTATCCAAAAGAACAATCTAATCTTTCAACTAATCAAAATGGCAAAACAATTCAAATGATGGAAAGCTTTTGTGTATGTAACCAGAACTGAAGAAATACTACCTGGATCTCCATATATAGATCTTGATAAAAATCATGATTGCTCAGGCACTTAATTTCTCTTCACTATGAATAATGCAAAACATCAAAAGGATGTTTTATTTTCAACTTTTTCAAAAAAAAATCTGGTATAGCGTTTTTTCCTTTCTAGAAAGCTGTCATCCAGGGCTCTAATTTTGGGAGTGCTTTTGGAATGCCATAGTTTGTTGTTAAGGTTTGGTATTGCTGCTGCTGTTTAAATAAATTCACAAGATTAAAATCTCATCCACTATATGTTTGTTATTGGTCACAAACTCTTCTCTAGATTGGTCCTGGACCTGTATTTGAAGATGTACTCCTGTACATCCTGGGCAAGGCACCCATGGCCCGAGTGCTGTCTAACTAAAACTTACTGATTTGGGGCTGCCCCACGTGGGGTCCAGGCAGTTGGCTGGCCTATCTGTTCAACTGTCATGATGCTGTGGGAAAGTGCCTCAGGCTGTCACCAGGCTGCCCCACGAGCATGGTCTGTTCTGTTCACCTCAGTGGATCCCTGTCATGCTGGGTTACTATGAATTATTGATTCGCACAAGTCTGTCCCAATTGAGAGGTGGAAGTTTCTAGGCACAGAAGAATCAACATGCCACAAAAGGTCATCTGCAACTTACCTTTTGTGCCCAGAGCTTCCAAGCATGGGCAGAACAGGCAGTTCATGCATCTTTAGAGAAAATATGATTCGACAAGCTACTGTAGCAGTGGCAGTTTGTCCCTGGGTATAGCAGGGCTCACGTGAGGCAGCAGACATGTGAGGACAGCTCTGAGGGCTGATCATCCCCTGCAGCCTCTCTGCCTCGCTGCAGGCCTGTGGATGGCAGGGACATTCAGTCACATGTGTGCCCCTCAGCCTTTGTGGCTGTCTTCATTTACTGAGTGCCATTCTTCTGGACTTGGATCCAGACTCATTCAATGAATTAGGTGCAGGAAAGTTACATGGGAAGTCCACGGGAGCAGAAAAGAGGGGGAGAAAATTCTGGAAAGCAATAGAAAGTCAAAGGCAGGGAGTCCATTATGGAAATATTTAGGGATTGAATTCTCTCAGACTAACTGTAAGGGTTTGGCAAATCCTTGAATATCTCATCTTCATTTCCCTCATCTGCAAAACAAGGGATGTATGATTTCCTGATTGCCGAGTTCCACTCTACTCCTGCGCCTTTATTACCAACCACATGGAAATAGCTCAGTTCACACCCAGGATTCATGAAACTCATTCAGACATGCTCTCTTCCTCCCTCCTTCCTTCCTGTCATCTCTCACTACTTCCAATTACAGAAAAAATCCAAAGGAATATATTTATTGTTTACTTTTGGTCATGGTTCAAGCTTGGATCTTTTTTTGAGTTATTTCTAAATTATGATGTGATCATTATATACTTAATGTTTTCACTCTTTTGCCATACTAAGCCATTCCTCATATTGTCCCTTTGAGCTTGAGGACCATTCCTAAATGGACTAAAAAAAGGTTCACAAAATAACTTTGCCCCTGAAGCTGAGTGATGCTGGTGACTCACAGGCATGGCTGGCACCAGGCACCAAGAGCATCGCCCATCAAGCACTGTCATTGCTGCTCTGCATTCTGCTCAAGATGTCCTGCTCAGCTAACGTCTGGGCTGATAGTTCCAAATGTCAAAGCCTAATTACAAAGGAATGATTTCTATAATCATGTTTTTCAGTGGGGAATCTTGAGGGTTTGGGGGTTTTTTTATTTTATTTTTATATTTTTTTTTCAATTTTATTTCAAGAAAATATAAAAGTACGGACATTTTGGTTACATGTTATATCTTTGCCTCTCCCTAGCAAGGGTTAGAGGTATGTCCTTCCCCTCCACAATGCTCACCACATCCCTCAGATGTGGGACTACCCCCCCACTCCCCGAATCCCTGGTGAACACCACCACCCTTTGAGCACCGTAGCGTTAATCAGTCAGTACCAATTTGATGGCGAGTATATGTGGAGCCCATTTTTCTGATCTTGTGTCACCTCACTTTGGATAATGGGCTTAAGCTTAATCCAGGATAATATGAGCGGTGCTAGCTTGCTGTCATTTCTTAGAATTGAGTAATATTCCATTGTAAACATATACTAAATTTTAATAATCCACGCATGAATTGACAGACACTTGAGTTGTTTCCATGTCCTTTCAATAGTGAATTGTGCTGCCATAAACATTCGGGTGCAGATGTCTTTATAATAGAATGTCTTATGCTCTTTTGGGTAGATGCCTAATAATGCTATTGCTGTGTCAAATTGAATTTCTATTTTTAGCTCTTTCAAGTATCTCCAAATTGTTTTCCACAGAGGTTGCACTAATTTGCAGTCCCACCAATGTAAGAGTGTTCCTGTCTCTCCGCATCCTCGCCAGCATTTGTTGTTTTGAGATTTCTTGATATATTTTTATTTTATTTTTAATTTTTAATGTTTTTATTTCAGCATATTACAGGGGTACAAGTGTTTAGGACACATATATTGCCTTTGCCCCACCTGAATCAGAGCTATAAGTGTGTCCATCACCCCGTGTGCGCTACACCCATTAGGGGTGAATATACCCATTGCCTCCTCCCCATTCCCACCTGCCTGACACTCGATGAATGTTATTACTATATGTGCACTTAAGTGTTGGTCAGTTAATACCAAATTTGATGGTGAGTACATGTGGTGCTTGTTTTATTTTTTTAAAAAAAACAACACTCATCTGATTTTCTGATGAGAAAAATGTCTTTTATTTGAATCACCTGAGTCATTTGTAGCTGGAAAAGAATTTTGTTATGAACAACTTAACTCAGATATCATCAAAGGAACACCTTGGTTGGCTTTAGAGAGTTTGAATGTTTTTAAGTTGAGATTAGCATAAACTATAGAGATGTGCTTCTACTGCAAAGAGGAGAATTCTAATTTGACTGACTTAACCACCCCCCCATCTTTTTTTTTTTTCTTTTGGTTAAACAGGAAACTGTTAAGGACAACTCACTTCTTTTTATGCCAAATGTTTTGAAAGTCTATCTGGAAAATGGACAGACCAAATCATTTCGCTTTGACTGCAGCACCTCCATAAAGGTAGGATGACCTGCTATAGTCTGTCCCTGGACTCTGCCATGTACATCAAGACACACTTTGAGCCATTTTGTAGCAGTACCTTCTTTCAGAACTATCCCTTTATTTCTGTAATTTTATTGGTTGCTTCCATAGAAGGTAGTGTATGAATACTTAAAAACAAACCAAAACAACAACAAAAAAATTAAACGAAAAAGGTTCTGCTGGTTTTTTCCCCTTGGAGTTGCAAAATGCTATCAGCAAAGAAACACTAAGGCTAGTCATTTTAATGCAACTACAGATTAATTAAAATAGTGTGACTGTCACCAAGAAGGCTTGGCACCCTGCCCAAAGCCAGCATGATTTCTCAGCAACATCAGCTGCCCAGAAGATTAAGATGTTAGCTTTTAATTGAATATCCATTACTTTTGTATGCAGCAAGAACAAGGGGTAGCATAATGTGAAGGTAACATTTACTTTGAATTGCTGTAACCAATTTCATGGAAATGTGCATCAAAAGGCAGAAATGAGGTATGCTTCTTAGAAGGGGTGGAAAGGAAGAGTCACAAAGTAATTCTATTCTTTCAGAGCCACAGGTGAGTTTTACATAATAGGCATCATAGCAAGGGCATATGGTTTTTTCCCCCCATGCTTCCTTACTGGAAAAGAAAAGTACAGAGTCTCTTTTTTTATTGGACAAAAGTGTGTTCAGAAATTGATTGCTCCCTAATGCTTCATCAGCCTAAAATAGGCTTTATTCAAATGGCACAATAAAAAAGATTTTTATGGAGGTAAAAAAGTACCTGGTGATGATCTGTACAATAATCTATCAAGAGAATATCAGCTCTGTGTTAAAAATGTCTATCAATAGTCAACCCCTAATTCTCATTTTTTAAGTTAATCAGCACAGACTTCATATGTGGAAGTGTTTCTGCAGAGGCCCACTCACTAGGCATTCTTATTGTCCTGACACCAGCAAGCAGCTTGTTTTGAATTGCTATATGTATGTGGTGATTTAGTAGATTGATGTCAGAGCATTAAATCCTCCTTAAATCATTCTAGGTGAAATATTAACTTCCTTCATACAAGACTGTGAATTTTAAATGGTGATGACTGGAAAAGTTCTTTTCCTTTTTTCCTATTCAATACCAATTTCTGGTGAGATGTTAATGTAATTAATGACCAATTAACCCAGAGGTAGGCCAACTTTTTCTTCAAAGGGTAAAATAATAAATATTTTAGGCTTTGTAGGCTATTTGATCTCTGTTTCAACTGCTCAACTCTGTCATTATATCATGAAAGCAGCTGTAGACAGGTGGGTTTGGGAAGTCCATAAGATAACCCTCAGATTCAAGAATTCATTTGAAGAACTCACAGAAGTCAGCAATTTGTTATATGTATAGTTGCAGTATATTATAGCAAAAGGATACAGAATGGAATTAGCAATGGGAAAAGGTACAAAGGCAGGGCACAGGAGGGATCAGGAGGAGAGCTTCCAAGTGTCTTCTCCTAGTGGATTTCTGCAGACAGTGCTTAATCCTCCCAGAAATGATGTGTGACCATTTGCACACAGCACTGCCAACTAGGGAGGCTCACCTGAGCCTTGGTGTCCATAGTTCTTATTGGGGGCTTACCACATAGACACTGGTAACCACCCACATGGCTGCCCTTAGTCTCCAGCCCTTCCAGAGTTCAAGCTGATACCACATGGCCCAAGGTTCCTGTCATAAATCAATTGTTAGCATAGACTATCTTATATGCCCCAAGGCCCCCAGGTAAACAAAACCACTCCTATCAGGGAAGATATTCCAAGAGTTTAGAGGTTATTTTCCAAGAGTGGGAGCAAAGGGCCAAATCTTTCTTTAGGCAAGGTCAATTCGTTACTGCACAGACAATATGTAAACAAATGGGCATGACCAGGTTTGACCCACAGGTCATAGTTTGCAGACTGCTGAACTAACCCATAGAGCTACGTTATTACAACTCTCTGACACCATGGCCTTGTTCTGTGTTAGCAACTGGTCAGCTCCTTACCACTGGCCTCCATAACCCACCTGAAGATATAAAGACTTGAATGTATTTCTTAACAGTAAATCTAAATTTAAGAAATCCCTGTTGTTAATTCCCTCTGGCCTCTTTATTATAGGAACCTACACTAGACTAAGTTTGATTTCCCCAAGGATTGCAGATGACAATGAAAAGACAGAGAGCAATGCAAAGAGTTCACATCGAATTCAAGTTATCTTATCTCGTACCTAACAGCCTCATTATCACAATAGACACTGGCTGGTAGGTGTAAAATAAAAATAGTATAGTTATGAAAGGAATATGACACTGTTTGATAAAAATTTCCAAAATTCTTGCTACAGAGTTACAATAGAGAAAACTATTGCTATCGATTTTTTGGTGTCCTCCCAGGTGATTAAGGAAAATATTCTATAAACTACATGTTGCCACACAAAGGCTGTTTTTGTTTTCTCTTTTCTGGTCCTTGAGTGAAAATGATAAAACAGAGAAACTTTTTTTGAAATTCAACAGAGTCAAGGAATTTCTGTTGAATGATTTTGGGGGGAGCAGGTAGATGTGGGAATCTTTGATTTAATAGGACCTGAAGAAATTGAAAAAGGACCACAGAGAAGGATCAAAATATCAGAAAGGTCAGGAAAAGAAAACTCTATGTATGGCAGGGTTTCTCTTTCTTGGCACTACTGAGATTTTGGGATCAGATTATTCTTTGCTGTGGGGCTGTTCTGTGCGTTGCAAGATATTTAGCAGTATCCCTGGCCTCTAAACACTCCATGCCAGTAGCATCCCCAATTCTGCAACAACCAAAAATGTCTCCAGAAATTTCCAAATGTTGCCATGGGATAAAACTTCCCCAGGTTGAGAACCACTGCTCTACAGAATTTTTAGCATCTGAGTGTAAATTACCTTGAAGAGGGATCACTTATTAGTTTTCAGGTACATGCAAAAAGTAAAGGTTGAGGAATTAGTTTTGCATTGCAGTAAATCTGTGTGTTTGTCCATGGAACACTTTTCTGATCATAGGTGCTTAATCCTATAAAAGATTTCTGAGAAAGCTTGCTCATTGTACCTTCCCTAGAGATGTAAAATAAAAGCTAATATATGTACATTATAGTGCCCTAATTCTGTGCCAACACAACCCTTTGTGTTGTAATCAATGCTTTCTATGTATGAACTCATTTAATCCTTATTTCCATTCCAAGACATGCTTTATTATTATCCCAAGTTTACACATAGAGAAATTAAGATACTTAGAGATTAAATAACTTGCCTAAAGCTGCATAGCTAATAAGCAGTGGAGCTAGGATTCGAAGCCAGACTGTTTCCGGAGCCCCCTTCCTTACCACTGCCACACCGCTCTTCAGAAGGGTAGACCAGGGGTCAGCAAACTTTTTTTATGAAAGGCAGAGAGCAAATATTCTAGGCTTCACAGGCCACATAGTATCTGTTGCAACCACTCTGCTGATGCAGCACACAAGCGACCATAGACTCTAGATCAGACATCCTCAAACTATGGCCCGGGTTGCCTAGCACATTTATCCGGCCCTCCAGGTGTTTTTGCCGCCGCTGCCTGTCCTGCTTAGCAGCTGACTCGTCCCGGGCCCACAGTGCGCACTCTCCAACGGTCTCAGGGACAGTGAACTGGCCCCCTGTTTAAAAAGTTTGAGGACCCCTGCTCTAGATAAACAGAGGGACATGACTGTGTCCCAATGAAACTTTATTTACAAAAACAGGTGGTAAGCTAGATCTGGCATGCTGGCCATATTTTGCCAACCCTTAGGGTAGACCACTTTCAGAGCTAATTTAATTGCTACCCCATTTAGAAGAAAGGAGAACTGAACTGACTATGCTATATAATCTATCGATAACATTACTATTCTAAGACCTTACATAAGTAAGCTCCTCCTCTAGCTACTTACCTTGTTAACTCTCTGTTTTGAAGTCCATAAAAATTTGGGGTGGTTGAGAAGGCCCGGAAAAGGGCAAGAGAAGAAAGACCTCATTTCTGTATCTTTTTGGATCTTTGGAGTATTAAATTTTAGAATTGACCAAAGGTACAAAACTTCAAGATCTGAAGTCTACATGTGTAACATTTTTCTGGCCATGCTAGACTCCACCAGAGGGTGGCCTCAGTTTTTATCTCATCATGTCAATGTTTCCTCTGTAAGGATGTCATCTTAACCCTTCAAGAGAAGCTCTCCATCAAAGGCATCGAACACTTCTCCCTCATGCTGGAGCAGAGGACAGAAGGGGCTGGAACGAAGCTGCTCTTGCTTCATGAACAGGAGACTCTAACTCAGGTCTGTGAAATTTCACCCCCAGGTGTGGAAGCTGCTGGCAAGAGCAGAGGTTGCCCAGTTCCAGACTTCTCCCTCCCTCTAATGCTTTAAATGTATTAATTGCATCCCAGGGTATCCTCACAAAAGGGAGTGCTGGCCTTCATAATGGATTTTACACCCGAAGTTGATGTTTCTCTTTCTGCCAATCTTTCACAGACAGTCGGTTGGTCTCATAACCAGATTTGTCATTCAAAGACTCAGCAGCTACGCACTGGGAATATAGCTCTGTAGAATCATACTTTATGTTATTGCAATGACTTGTTCGCCTGTTTTGGCCATTAATCTTTTGAAACCATTAAAAAGAAATAGCTCCGGAGATTATTTAAATTAATCCAAAATCATATTTAGTTGTTTTAAATTCTGGGTACATACTTAAGACTATTTTTGGAAGCCTGAAATCCCTGCCCCAGTCCTGCTCGCTATAAATATATGATCCACCAATGTGTCCCAGTTCTTGGTTACCAAGATGCCACCCCCATCTGTTCTCTGGGGAGACAAGCGGGCTGCTTGGCTGCTGAATTCAGTGCGGCACCCTGGCTTTTTTTGTGTGATTCCACACAAGCAGAGTCTTTATTGAATATATAAGAGATTTCAACAAATTCCTCTTCCATAGAAGAGTTCAGAGCTGAGAGAACTTCAGGGAGAGGGGCATGAGGGGACACCAGGAGGAGAAACATCAAGACACCACCAGTTGGATAGAGTGGCAGAAAGTGTCTTTGCACTAAAGTGCTTCTTGGTTGTTGTATAGTTAAAAGCTGGTGTCTTGCACATCAGTCCCGCGGGTATCTCGGATTCTCTTGATCCAGTTCAATTCGATGTAATGAATTAGTGAGCAAGGTGCCATTTGTGTTGATTTATATTCCTCTGTCTACACTTGACCTATCATTTCTATCAAGTTTAAATCTACCTATAGCTATTTTCAATCACTTCTACTGATTGGTTAACGTGCGCCAAAACACTCTCGGAACTAGATGACTTATTTTATGCTTCGTTACAAGGGAACAACCCCTGATATACAGAACCCCTCATGTGAAAGGTCAGTGTCTGGGTCTGAGTTCCCCTAGAAGCAGAACTTAAGGATTTGAATGCACGTGGTTTGTTTGGAACGAGATCTCAGGAAATACTGGCAGAGGAATGTGGAAGGGAGATGGGAAAAATTGGGGGGCCAATGAAGGATATGTCATCAAGGCAGTTTCCACTGTAGGCAACTGGAGCTCTGTCCTACTGGAGGGCACTGGGTGACAATGTGGAACACACTGCAGAGTTATCCCACAAAGTGGGGGGAGCTGGGGCATCTGTCCACCAACATGCTGTCTGTTATTGGTGTGGGCAGCCCCCTGGTGACTCAGGGTTTTTTCCTCTGTGCTGTCAGCTGGTCACGGGTATTTGCAATAAATGGCCTTCAGCTTGTAGCAGTAAATGCCAAAGGCACATGGGCCGACAGCCAGTTACTATGAGTCTAACAAAAACCCCCACAACCTTTTGATCTTTCCAGTTATACCTTCTCTCTAAACTTTTATCTGCTACATAGCCTTTATGGGAAAGCTTCGTGCTGATTTAGTTGGACAAAGATTCTTTAAAAGTCTCTTCTGGTGCTAGGTAACCTAAATTTTTCATTCTAATTTCTAAATTTCTTTTAAAATGTTAGAAGGGGCCGGGCACGGCAGCTCATGCCTGTAATCCTAGCACTCTGTAAGGCCAAGGTGGGAGGATGGCTCAAGGTCAGGAGTTCGAGACCAGCCTGAGCAAGAGTGAGACCCCATCTCTACTAAAAATAGAAAGAAATTAATTGGCCAACTAAAAATATATAGAAAAAGGCCGGGCGTGGTGGCTCACGCCTGTAATCCTAGCACTTTGGGAGGCCGAGGCGGGCAGATTGCTCAAGGTCAGGAGTTCGAAACCAGCCTGAACGAGACCCCGTCTCTACCAAAAATAGAAATAAATTAATTGACCAACTAAAATATATATATACACAAAAAATTAGCCAGGCATGGTGGCGCATGCCTGTAGTCCCAGCTACTCGGGAGGCTGAGGCAGTAGGATCGCTGAGCCGCGGAGATTGAGGTTGCTGTGAGCCAGGCTGACGCCACGGCACTCACTCTAGCCTGGGCAACAAAGTGAGACTCTGTCTCAAAAAATATATATATATATAGAAAAAATTAGCCAGGCATGGTGGTGCATGCCTGTAGTCCCAGCTACTTGGGAGGCTGAGGCAGGAGGATCACTTGAACCCAGGAGTTTGAGGTTGCTGTGAGCTAGGCTGATTGATGCCATGGCACTCTAGCCTGGGCAACAGAGTGAGACTCTGTCTAAAAAAAAAAAAAAAATGTTAGAAGGAAACAAAAAACTTCTAACAGTGATTCTTACCTTATCTTTTCTTTCTTTTATTAGAATCAGAACTAAAAGTCAAGTGCTAAAACTCAAGCACTGTATCTAGAAAAGAAAATTGATTACGTATCCTGAAACAAACTCACTATATGCCTTTGAAATCAATGCATATGAAAGAATCAATTACTAAAATATTTATAGGCATGATGAAAAGGGAAGTAAATATGAGAAATTATAATTTGTCTAATAATAAAAATCATCTTAAAACATTTAATTTTGATGGAAACTCCCAAAGGAACTTTTAAGCAACTCTACCTGAATTTTTGGCAGTTTGATGTTAAATGTATGCCTAGAAAATACTACTGTCTATTTACATACTGCTTAAAGTTTTTAAGAAATTGTTTCTGTTTGTTTGTTTTAGAGAGTATTATTCCTATGGACTGCCATTTCTAATGACTCTAAAGCACCTTTCTACATGACATTAATTTGTTTCCCAAAACTAGTGTATCCTACTGACATTAAAAGTGGACCCAAGATGGCTTATGGAAAATTCAGGAAAGATAGATTCTAGCCAATAATTAAAGCAGTGGGAAATATGATGATTCCTGACTTTCTAGCATGAGAGCAGGCCTTTAGCAAAATAGCCCGTGAAGCCACTGTGAATCACAGCAGGGCTGACCAACACTCCAGGCCTCTGAGATTCCCCTGTTTCCTTCTTCCTCGTTTGCTTTCCCATTAGTCAGCGATGAGCAGCCTAGAGCCCTAAGTGTCACAATTCCGCTCAGCTTTCTAATCATGCCCATGGCCAGGAAGCTGGCGTGATTACTTTTCAGTATGCCCAGATATTTAAAAGTCTTTTCCCATTGGTATTCTTCTAGTCAACAAAGATAGCAATGTAAACTGTAAACACACACACACACGTGCTATAAGACTTAAAGCTATTTTTATTTTGAATTTTTTAATTGCAGCTCACAAATATTTTTATTTTGCCAGATTTGTCCGCTGCATAAAAGTAGTTACTCTCAACTGTGTTGGTGCATGCTGCATGATTTTTGTTTTGTTTTGTTAACCCCTTTATGGGAAATCAATAGATTTTGCCTTCTTTCTTGTAGTCCAATGTTTTTCAGTCATTCAACTGTTTATTAAGTACTTACTATTATTATTGCTTAGTAATTGATTTCCCTTTGTTGCAAAAGGAATTAAGAAATTAACATCTAGTAGTTGACACATACTGTGCTGGATAAAAGGAAAACAAACCATGATCCATGGTCCTTAACACTGAAGAACCTGTGGTATATTCTAAGCTCCTTTGAACAATTTGAACAGTGTCACGCTATGAGAAATTTGGGGTAGCCTAGAAATTTATAGAATACAGATGTAGTGCATGGGCCAAAACTTCTGTCTTCCTACTTTCCAATGTGATGTCCTCCAAGGTTGACACTATTTGTGCTTTCATTGCTACAATCAGTCTGGAGTCAAATTTAGAAAAAACAAAAAAGGCACAGTCATATACAATAATAAACTGTGGTGGATAATCTCCATCTTTGGATCCTGTTGTACTCCCCATCCTAGATTTGGTGTGCTGTCACTAGCAACAGCCAGCATCTGCTGAGCTTCTTCCGAGGACTGCCCTCAGACCACTAGAGCCTATCCTATCCACATCTGGAAATTCATCTTCCCTGGGACAGCCCTAAACCGATGACTTGTCATTGCTCCTTTGGCTCAGGTCTCAGTGGCAGTTCTTATGGTGTAACTGACATGCCAGGGTCCCCTGCCTGATCAGGCTGTGGCTACCCTCTGCTGGGCTTCCCTGAGATGGCACGTTTGCGTGGCTTCTCTTTCCCTGACCTGCTTCCCTCTGTCCCATACTGGCTTCTCCCAGGAGCACTTCCTTAATGAGTCCCTTGCACACAAACTCTCATCTTAGGGTCTGCTCCTGGTAGTCCAAGGTAAGTTGCAAGGTTATGTGCCATTTTCAGGGAATGACTATCTGCAATAAATGTTAGGAACTTCCACTGCTTCTTTCCTTAGTGTCCAAAGAAAGTTGACTTTGTTTTACCATCCCTCAGCCATTTCTCGGCAGCACTGACGGATTCTTGTGTGATTGGTCTGCTCTTCTAGGTGACACAGAGGCCCAGCTCCCATAAGATGAGGTGTCTTTTCCGAATTAGCTTTGTCCCAAAGGATCCAATTGACCTTTTAAGGAGAGATCCAGTTGCTTTCGAGTATCTCTATGTTCAGGTATGTGAAAATTTTGGCATGTTTTATGTTAATGTCATGGGATAAATTAACTTTAGGGTTTTGTTTTTTTTCTGACTTCTTTAATTTGGTATCTTCTTTCTCTTTGTTCCCCACCCCAAGATCAATGAGTTGTAAAATGGTTCTGTGGTGCTCTTTTTATTGTTACATTTGATTTTGAAATAATTTCATACTTCCAAAAAAGTTGCAAGAGTAGTCGTCTGTACCCTTCACTGGTTTCGCCAATTGTTAACATTTTATCACATTGACTTTATGTTTAGTGTGTGCACATATTCTCTCTCTCCACACAAATACACACACACACACATACATATATAGAATTTTTTTTCTAAACTATATGAAGATCAGTTGCCCAAATCATGCTGGTTTGCTCCCTAAATACTTCAGTGTATATTTTCTAATAACAAAGACATTTTCTTACATAATCATTGTACAATTAACAAAATCAGGAAATTTAACAGTGACATATTTCTATTATCTCATCTGCAGTCCATATCCAAATTATGCCTATTGCCCCCCAAATGTCCTTTATATCAGGTTTTTTCTGGAACAAGATCCATTGCAGGATTCCATGTTGCATTTAGTTGTCGTGTCTCTTTAGTCTCCTTAAATCTAGAACATTCCTCAGCCTTTCTTTGACTTTCATAACCTTGACAGTTTTGAGGAATACTGGTCAGCTGTTTTGTAGAAGTCTCTTTCTCAGTTTGGGTTTCTTTGATATTTTCTCATAATTAGACTGAGGTCATACATTTTGGAAAGAACAACATGGGTGACTGCATCCTCAGTGTATCACCTCGGGAGGAACATGATGTCAGTTTATCCCCTTAATGACAAGGTGAACTTTGAGTCTTGGTTAATGCCATGTCCTCCAAATTTATCCATCCAAATGCTACTACTTTTCCTTTTGTAATCAATTAGTAATTTGTGAAGTCACTTTGTAACTCTTTTATTATCTTGTACCTCATCAAATTTTCACCTACTAGTTTTAGTACTGACTGATGATTCTTACCTGAATCCATTATTATTATGATGGTTGAAAATGATTATTTTTTCTAATTTAATTCATTATTCTTCATTTATTAATCGGCATGATACTATAAAGAAAGCATTTTCCCTTCTCCTTTATTTACTTATTATTCATTAATTTATTTGGTGCTTGAATTGTTCTGAAAAGTTGTGATATTCATATAATAGAATTATTAATTACAAGATGATAAAACTTTAAGAGACTAGTATCTTTTCTAGACTATCTATAGCTCATATCTGATTCTGGAATATATAATTCCCAAACAAACAAAACTTGGAGGAATGAGGATTTGGAGCAATTTTTCCTAAAAGGGATTTATCCAATTTGATATTTAGATGTTCCTATATTTTTCTATAACTGCTTCCTATTACTCTCACTTAACATATAATCTATATATAGGTTATATAGATTAAATATAATATTATTTATAGATTAATTAATTATAGATTATATTAAATATAATCTATATATTTTTATATAAACAATTATATAAAATATAATCTCACTTCCAATATAATCACATTAAATAGTAAGAACTGACTTACCTAATGCTTAGGCATCTAGTAGTAGAACTACTCAAAGAGGTTGTAAACCTAAATGTAACCTCTCTCCCCCTACAAAAAGGAAAAAAGAAAAAGAAACAAAAGTGAAGGGAAAAGAAGGCATGCTCTCTTTGGCTGGGAATGGCTGTATAAGCCAAAGATTGCTGGCTCCATATATAAAATATAAAAAGCCAAAAAGTAGGAAAAAGATAATAAAAGGAACATTTGTTAACTCTGGGTAGTTGATAACACTGGTATTTATTTTACTGTTTTCAGTACTTTCTTGTATATTTCAAAGCTTTTGTAATCTTTAAAATTTAGGTGGGAAAAAAATGTAGGTAGAAGATGGAAGAAGGATGTAGACAAGATAGATGTCAGAGGTTAGGAATGGTGACATAAATTAAAGTGGCAATAAGCCCTGGAGATCAGAAATTAAATCAGAGAGGAAAGAGGCAGAACATACTAGAACATTCTAGCAGATGGGGGCACTCAAGGAGAGGCCAGTTAAACCTTCCTCCCCTGAGTGGTCTTTGGAAGAGACTATGGTGTTTACAGCTCAGTAAAATGCTTAATGTTCATGCAGATAATCCTACCTTATGTCAGTCATTAAAAAGTCAATTCCTGTTCGTTATACCTTGTTTATCAATTAAAGAATTGTAGAGAGTGCTTAATAATGTTTCCCACCCCAAACAGTGAAACTATCATGTTTTGGGTTTTTAATGTTAAAATTTGGTCACCTAGGCCCCTCACCTGTCAACAATATTTCCTGGTCCCCAACAGGCCAGGTAACCCTGATGTGACTGCATTAAACAAAGAGCCTGATTCTCAGCTGGTCTGTTACTGCATCTTCCCCGAATTCCTGCTGTCAACCAACCCAGAGCTTTGCTGCTATAGCTCAGCCCATGTGCAACCAGTGTTAGTTGCAAATAAATAGTTATAGGTGCTGGTCAGCCCATGGCTGTGAACAGTGATATGCATTTGCTAGTGGTTCTCTATAAATATAATATATACTCATCCCGCTAACGGGATGGTGTTTTAAAACTATTTTACTCTGCTTCTACATAAACACCACAAGTCCATTGCATCTATAAAAGAACAACATGGTTGCATTTGTCTTGGGGAGGGAAGACCCGTTAAGTAGAAAAGGAGTACTGCTAAACACAGTGCTGTTTTAGGTGAGTTTGCTCAAATCTAATGCAGTTTAGGGAGCTCTTTCTTATTCACAAGACACACCTTTTATACCTGTGAGATTGTCCTCAGAACAGGAAAACTTGTCTGGAAATCTTGCCCAGGGACTAGCAGAAAAGCACTGATCATGTTTCTGCTTTCCTGCCTTGGGTATTACATGGGTGGTGCATTAGCCATCTCTTCAAGGAGTAGCCGGAGTGGGGAATGGAAAGCCATGTATAGTAGGCAATAGATACCAAAATAAAGCTACTGTCATCTTATATATCCTCCACTGAAATCAGAAATGAAGATATCTTTGCCTCAGACCCTCTACTTTGAAATGTGTTGTATCACAGAATGCGCGGAGCTGTATGTCTAAAATAAAGTATCCATCTACTATAAGCCAACAGATCTGCAAATGGTACCTGTGTGCCCATGTTGATCTTAAGATACTGAAAAAAATGCACTAAAATTAGCCTAGACAACAAAAAACAATATGTATCACCTTACAAAGACAAAATCAATTTAACTTAGTGGGCTTCTAACGAGGACACTAGCCAATGACCAGATGAACCATGATGATGAAAACAGAGGTTTCAATTGTGATAATATCCATTAATCTCCTCGTCCCTAATGGGCCATGAGGTATTTTACAGATTTTAACATCTATATTAACAGTAAACTCTAATAATCCAGACTGTTGTAATTTATAATTATAATAGGCTATTCGGACATTTACCTGTGCACTGTTAAGAAAAAGATTGTTACACCAATTAGTAAACAGAATAAGACCCAAGAGGCTCCAAATTGTTTTCAGATATTTTACTAGTATTGGTTTCCTTTTGAATATCTAATATGTTCATTGTAAATGAACTTTTTTGTAGGCCTAAAGTGGAGCCTGTTGGGGCCTATATTTAGCAAAACAGTGATTGCCATTTGCTTGTTTAACTGTATTTGAAGTAATGTAGTTGAGAGTAATAAAAGCATGATTAATACCAAATATACATATATATAACTCATTCTCCAGGATCAGTCTAAACTAATTATATAACGTAATTAAGTGACTAATCACCTTGTCAAAAAATTCACCCAGAAGTTTGGTTAAATACAGGGTAAAGCAAGGATGGGAAAAACAGTCTCAGCCACAACTCCTAGGAGACGTAATAGGGATGGCTCATCTTTATAAAGTACATTCCTTTTTATGAATCATACTTACAGGTATCATGGCAACCTTGCAAGTTAGTTGTTAACTCTCAAGTTAGTTGTTGTTGCGAGTTAACCCATTTTTTAAGAGAAGAAAACTGAGATTCCAGAGAGATGAAATGCCATGTCCAAGGTCATTTTATTAGTAGTTGACAGAGCCTAGTATCAAATCTGGAGCTTTTGCCTCTAAATTCTATGCTCAAATCCTACTTCAATCCATCATGCAATAGCAGTCATTGAAGAAAGTGATTTATCAAAATGATTTATCAGAAAACTGATTCTTCAAGTGCCTGTACCTCACACTGTACCAATGGCTTCCTCATCGCCACCTCTCATGGGACTCTATCCTTTGGAGCCCATATGGACAACCAGAGCACATAGAAATGTAGGGGCAGAGGCAAAAGCTTCCCTTTTGCCCTTAGAGAGTTCATTGAAAAATCAACTCACAAAAGGCAGACTAATTGGGGAAAAGGCATATAAAATGTATTATTAACGTGTACATGCCAGCCTTCAGAATGAAGACCCACCCCTCAATGGGGTGTAGAAGCTTATATGCTGTCTTGAGGTTACAGAAAGAATGTGAGCTCAGAGCTTGGCTAAAAAGAGGTACTGGTAAATCAAGTTTTAGTGGCAAGACAGGTTACAGGAAGAAGGATAGGGGACTCATGTCTGGCAAAGGTGGTCTCGTTATATAGATGAAACCTGCTGTGTAGTAGCCCTTAAGAAGAATAGATAGTAAATGTTTTGTTTAGACCTTTAAAGGTGTCAGATTGTTAATTAATCTTTCTTAGATCTGACCAAAAAGAGACCTGACTTCATCAATATAGGTTTTTCTGCAGATACAACTTTTCCCCATAAAAGACAGCTTTACAGGACTACTTTTTACTGGCTCTGTGACAACCATCTCAAAATATGTCAAAAACATTTTTTAGCATAAAATATAATTTAATTTCCTGCAGAAATAACTGGCAAACCCAAGACTGGCTAAACAAAATGGCAGCCTGGAATTGCTCTCAGAGGCTGCCCTAACTCAGAGCACCCTAACTCCTGTCTCCTGAAAGACCCACTTCCAGTAAGGGGTGCAGTGCAATGTAGCTAGGTTTAAGATTTTAAGGAGAAGCTAAAGTGGAAGATTGTATTAGGGATGGACACAGGAGAGAATGTGACTTTACTCTTGGCAGTGAAGCAATGGGCTGAGATGTGAACACAGAGTGTACATGGCACAGCACCAGTCCAGCATGTATAAATACTGTATGCAGAAGCTGCCCAGAGGTACACGTTCCCATGTTAGAATATTCGATATAGGAAGCAATATAAATGTGCTTCTCTTGGAAAGGAGGCAAACAAATCCCGATATAGTTTTTCATTTGAAATCTTCTTGGGACAAGGCAAAGAATAAAGAAAAGAAGTAACAAAGGGGCTAAATATCATATTCTCTAGCCCAAGAATCCAGCTTCCCATAACAAAAATAAGTAAACACACATGTTGAATATGCCTGAGCGATGCTGTGCTTCCCAGCGGCTCTCCTGACCAGTGAGTGAGGACGCTACTCTAAAACCAATCTCTGGGCTTGTGCAGGACTTTACACTTGATAACACTCTCAGCCACTCTTTAATTTGATCCTCACAGCAAATCCTGTATGGTACATGTCCCCATTCTATAGATGAACAAACTAAGGCCGAGAGAGGTGGAATGACTCCCACAAAGTCATGCAATAGAAACAACAAAGCATTTGCCATGGAAATGAAGCGGGGAGTTTACTACCTACCCTTTACCCAGTGTACCAATGCACTGTGACAAAATGCTCACTGTGCATCTCATCGGATCCTTGAGCCACTCCAATGAGGTAATTAACATGAATCCCCATTGCACAGATCAGTAAACCAAAGCTGCAAGAGTTGAAGTAAATAGTCTAAAGTTATGTACAGGCCAGGCGCAGTGGCTCATGCCTGTAATCCTAGCTCTCTGGGAGGCCAAGGCAGGTGAATTGCTCGAGGTCAGGAGTTTGAAACCAACCTGAGCAAGAGCGAGACCCTATCTCTACCATAAATAGAAAGAAATTAATTGGCCAACTAATATACATAGAAAAAATAGCCGGGCATGGTGGCACATGCCTGTAGTCCCAGCTACTCAGGAGGCTGAGGCAGCAGGATTGCTTGAGCCCAGGAGTTGGAGGTTGCTGTGAGCTAGGCTGACACCATGGCACTCACTCTAGCCTGGGCAACAAAGTGAGACTCTGTCTCAAATAAATAAATAAAGTTACGTACACAGGGGACCATTGCCAAAGCCAGGACATCAAAGCAGCAGGTGTGAGTCCAGAGCTGCTGCGCTTAAGCACCTTGCTAATGCTGCCTCCCTGAAGCTGCTCTGGATGGTGACAAGGATGAGAAGAGTGATGCTGGATGATGACAGTAGTTAACACGTGAGGGTGTCCCATCTTACCAGGTAGAGTGCTAAGGGCTTTACATTGTACACTCATGTAACACTCCCCACGCCCCTGTCAATAGGGACCAATATTGTCCTTGCTTTGCAGAAAAGGAAACTGAGGCACAATTAAGGAACTCTCCCAAGGTCATGTCACCTGTGAAGTGGAGGAACAAGTTTCGAATCCAGGACTCCAACCCTGACAGCATAACTCCAGAAGCCACATTACGCTATCAATACTTTGTGTGTTAGACTGCGGCACCTGTGTTTGGAAATTTCATACCTAAATTCCTAATTATTTTTACAAAAAGCTAAATATTTAAATAGCAGCTCGTCGATGAATGTTAAATGTTTTGTGTGGTCTCTGTGTTTGTGCGTGCGATTAAATACTGACTCGGTTCCAAGCAGCGCGGTGGAAACGTTTCCACATTTAGCCTCCTTGCCTGTGAAGTGAAGGTTGCAGCACTCCGGGGAAATGCGTGGCACCTGTTCCTCTCATTCTTTGACAAGCTGCGCCCCCTGCTGGTCTCTCTGCAGAGTTGTAACGACGTCGTTCAGGAGCGATTTGGGCCGGAGCTAAAATATGACATAGCCCTGCGGCTGGCCGCCTTACAAATGTACATCGCCACCGTCACCACCAAGCAAACGCAGAAAATCTCCCTCAAATACATCGAGTAAGTGTTGGCTCTCAGAGCCATTTCGGAGACCGAGATGGTGCCTCCTTAACGCCCGGGGGTATTTTTGATCTTTTGTCTCTGCTTCCAAATTTGATCTTGTTTGTGGCAGGGTGTTGATTAACCAAAGGCAAAATGTATGAAGATCATGTTCATTTCTGGTAGAAGCGACCCATTTCTTACATAATCCATCTTCAGAGCACTGTGGTTAAAATAAGGGTCTGGTTCCCAGCCCAGCTTTGGTCTCAGTGCTTTTCATGCATTAATTTAATTCTCACAACATCCCTATGAGATTAGTAGGATTAGGGTTTCATTTTGTAGACAAACAAACTAAGGCACAGAATGATTAAATAACGTGCCCAAGTGACACAACTATTAACTGGGGACACAAAATTCAAACCTAGGCGGCAGGACTCCTCATTGTGCTATAGTGACGGGTTGAGGTACCTGTGTTTGGAAGCACATGTAATGCCTTGGATCCCGTCCCATGTACAAACTAATTAAAATCCCACTTTCCAAAGATGCTTCCTATGGGCTGCCTATAAAGGCTTTCTAAATTCCGCAATGCCAGGTTGATCCACCAGGGGGCAAAATGGCTTTTCTCAACAGATTCATGAGCCTAGGTTTCGGAACATTGGAGTTCCAACTTGCTGACTTCAATGCCACTCTTCCAGCAACTCTCAGTTCACTTGTCAATGCTTAGAGACAAATCCTCGTTCACGGTTTGAGAACCTCAGACCTTTGAGTCTTGGGCCACTCCTTCTCCCAGATGGTTTCTCCCTTTTTCTCTTGCCACACACATGCAGTGGCTGTAACCTGAGAGAGACTAAGCTCACAAAGAGATCTTGTGCTCAGCTGGACACATTCACACCCTCCCCCTTTCTGAAGCTCTTGGGGACAGGTGAAACTGGCTGCCATTTGAAAAGGTGGCCTGCACAACTTGAGATGATTTTCAGGCAATTAAAATGCATTTCTTTTCCTACTGTCTGTCCCCACATTTTACCAGGCTGAACATTGTACAGTTAAAAACCTCTCTGAGATAATTAGCTCAACTAAGAATTTTGTAGAGTCTACAATAATGTTTTCATTAATAAATTCCTTCTCCCAAAAAAATATTCATTGAGCATTTTATACAGTATTCACATTAGGACAGTAGAAAATACTAATATGTATAAGTTATAACCGTGATCATGGAGGAACTTGTGTTCTGATTATAAAGACAGGTATAAAGGTATGAAAAGCAATTATTTAAAAGAATGATACATCTAGAATTACAAGGTAGCCCATAAGGAGTACCAAATGATGGGTAAAGACAATAAGTACGAGTTGAGGAAGAAGAAGAAAACACAGTGATCATGAAAAATACCATCTTAACTGGTTCTTAAAAATAAGAACATGAACAGTCAAGTCAGGGGAGGTTGTCTTCCTACCCTTTTTTGGAGAAGACCTGCAGCAGGAGAAATAATCAGATTCTTCTTGAAGGTCTTTACATAATTTAGAAGATGCTGGTTGGGCACATAACAAACGACAGGTTTCTAGGATAGGATTTCTATTCTAGGGTAGATTTTCTAGAATTCAAAATATGGAAGCTTCTTAGAATAGGGTTATAGTCATTGCTGAGGAAATGGGCTCTTGGCAAAAATATATTAACCTAGTCCTATTTGCTGTTGTTGTTTTCTTATATATGCACACCCATGGGTGATGTCTGCATCTCCCCATCAATACCAGACACACCTAAGAGTGATGAACCCCACCCTGATTCCACACCAGCAGCACCTCCCCCAAACCCCAAGCAAGAAATGTTGATGGAAGGAGTTAGACAGACATGAACTGGCTGGGGCAAAAGGGGACTGTGAGTGCCTAGAGAGAGAGGCATTAGGAGGGAGAAGAACAGAGGAGAAGGGTTTGGGGGCATGAAGGAGTTGCATCCATCCTTCTATGAGAAGAGAGAAAGATGGAGTGTTGGCAGACAGGGAGACAGGAGAATGGGAATAAACAAAGAGTTGGTAAGAAATTGGTGTTGGAAATTACAAACTCAGATATGTGAGTGAATTTTAAGAGACTCAGAAATGGATTGGACAGTGCCTCTTCAGCTTCCACTGGCCCCAAATGCCTCTTAGCATTCTCTCTAGAGAGTGAGGAATATGTTTCTTTTTCAATGCAAACACATGTATTAATGATCAAATAGCATGTTTCCTGGGTGTAAATTAAAAGTTACTTCCCTAATTGGGGGCTTGTCTCCATTCCCTGCCTTACCAAGAGTTCATTTGTTCCAATAAACATCAGAGCGCCATTTTGCCTTAGATAACTAATCACAAGAATGTGAAATTAAAGATATGTTCCTTATTGCAGAAAAGAATGGGGATTAGAGACTTTTCTACCCTCTGCTGTACTGCAAAGCATGAAAGAGAAGAACATAAAGAAAGCACTTTCACACCTTGTCAAAGCAAATCAAAACTTGGTACCACCGGGTAAAAAGGTATCACATTTGCATCTTAATAGAAAATTATAAAGAGAAAGGCTTGCATGCATTTTAAAAAATGTTTAAAATTAGCTCGTGAATAAAATACATTGTACCATATTTTCAGAAGCAGTAACACTGTATAACTTTTTTAAAACTATTAACATGTTTCTAAGACTAGTGAAAAATAAGTATTCATATGGAAACCTATTTATTTCTCACAAGTTATAGACTCCTTATTGTTAGGGGGAGGTATGTGTTTATGTGCCCATGCAGGAGAACCTTGCATAACTGCTGAGACCTTGTGAATGGGGGATAGAATTTCGAGATAAGTCTACATTTCCATCCTGCTCTTGCTTACCCCTCATACCAGCTTAAATGCACAGCAGCCAGCAAGGGGCCCACCAGGTCAAATGCCACATTAATTAAACCAGAGTTTCTCCATTGTGGCACTATTGACATTTGGGAACAGATTGTTCTTTGTTGGGGGGTGGACAGGATTATCCTGTGCACTGTAGGATGTTTAGTGCCATCCCTGGTAGGGTGTTACTGGCATCCCACCAGATGCCAGTAGCGCCCACCTCTAATTGTGACAAATAAAAATGTCTCTAGACATTGCCAAATACGCTCTTGGGAACAAAGTCACGCCTATTAACAATCGTTGGATTAAATCCTACTTTTGGAGGGAAGATAACGTTATTTCTGTCATTCACCATCATTAGTGTTAAAATCTTTTGCTTTTCTTTTTGTTTTCATTAAGAAGGAAAAACACAAAGGACATTGAAAAATGTACTACTGGTCAGAAAAGAGAGGTATGGTTTATAGGTAATAAAAAGCAGAAGAGTCTAGGAACCAGAAAGAGAAGGAGCCTTAAAATATTGGACCTATAAAATTGGAAGCAGTCTGGCAACCCAAGAACATTTTCTAATTGATATTGGCTAGAGAAACTTGTGTACTCTAATACAAATCACTGTTTATGTGGATAATACTCTTGCCTTAGTATCTGATTTTAAGTCATTTTTACTGGCTAAAGCACACTTATTTCTATACCCTCCTCACCTCATGACTTTTTTTTTGTAAAGTATAATCAGGTTCAACACACTATCAGCCACCTTTGATTTACTTGCCAGTTTCATGGGGAGGGCACTTCCGGTTGCAGTGAGCATTCAGCTTACAGAAATATACCAGGACAGCATGGATCAAAATTTTTAAAAATTTCAATTCTGATTCGCCTGAAGCTAATTTCTATTAATTGGCTTAATGTGATTTTTTTCCAAGCCTGGCCAACTGGTCTTGTAATAATTTGGATAACTGCTATGCAATCTTTTGATCTGTCTATAACTGCCTTGTATAAAGGTTGGTTTTTCTAGCCAAGACTGAGTTGTTTGCTTTCAAAACAATTTGCAGAGTGCTTTGGCTTTTCCAACCACGTAGGATGGACAAATGGAGCTAAATAACAATCACATAGAGGGCAGTACCTTTAGGTATACTTAATAAAAGAGTTGGCAAGTCATCTGCAATTGAAAAGAGAATTTTACAGTCATTGCTACTTAATGATGATCTACACCTTGTTGGAAAACTTCACCCTTAATAAACATTCCTGACATATTCAGTATGAAACATGGACTTTTTTTTTTTTTTTTTGAGACAGAGTCTCGCTTTCTTGCCTAGGCTAGAGTGAGTGCCGTGGTGTCAGCCTAGCTCACAGCAACCTCAAACTCCTGGGCTCAAGCGATCCTCCTGCCCCAGCCTCCCGAGTAGCTGGGACTACAGGCACGAGCCACCATGCCCAGCTGATTTTTATATTATATATATTAGTTGGCCAATTAATTTTTCTATTTTTATGGTAGAGACGGGGTCTCGCTCAGGCTGGTTTTGAACTCCTGACCTTGAGCAATCCGCCCGCCTCGGCCTCCCAGAGTGCTAGGATTACAGGCGTGAGCCACCGCGCCCGGCCAAACATGGACTTTTTTTAAATCAAATACGTTTTTTAGTGATATGGCAATCTATAATTTTAAGTCTTTATAAAGATCAATTTTATCTGGATAAAATTTCATTTGTAAATCATTCATGAAACTCAACAGATTCTCTGAGTTGAATTAATAAAACAGGGGCTTACATAGCAAGTTCAAACATTTCCACAATGATTGGAGCTCAGCAAGTTCATTTTCCCTGAAAACTTGCAGACCGGAAGAAACTTGAGAGGGAATGTATGAGAGCCTGTTTAAAAGGCTTTACCTAGATCGCAGGTGCGTATTCAAACCAGCTCCCACAAGCTCTCAGGTGAGTCTCCGGTGCTGTGGGAGAATTTATAGACAACCTGCCTTCGTCCCTAATTGCAAGTAGAAAGCACCACTCACCTCTAGAAATCTCCCAAGGACCAGATGTTTCAACGGAAACTTTTATGGTCTTGTTCTCACACGTTGAGTGCCCTGGCCCAGCATCTCCGGACTAACAAATCCCCCATACGTTACCCCCAAAATAAATAAGATTTGAATCTTGATGTCATGTTGAAGTCCGTCATCAGGAAACCAAATATGTGGCTTCTTGGCCTTTTGGCTAAGATCCAATGTAAGACACCAAATATGTAGCAATTTACGTTCATTCCTAATGAAAAGTCTTTGTCACACCCCGTCTCTTCAGCAATAAAATCATCCTTCTATTTTGCCCTTAGTTTCAGCTGCTCTCCAGCTGACATGGAGTCACACCTGATGACGTTAATACGTGAGGTTTCTTTTTTCTCCTCAGCTCTCTGCACTGCAAGCCAAGGTTCATTATCTCAAGTTCCTCAGTGACCTGCGATTGTATGGAGGCCGTGTGTTCAAGGCAACATTAGTGGTAATTTTAAATTATTATTATTATTATCTTGCTTTTTCTTGGAAGGCAGGGAGGCTTGCAAAATGTCCCTATATAGGCTGTCTTGAATGAGTTTGCTCTGTTGACAAAAGCAAATCAGATGTGAATCTCCTCTGGCCTTCATTGCTAACCAACTTCACCTGAAAATATCAGAAGCCATGTTAAACTAGATAATGCCACTGCAGAATGCCCTAGAAAAAGGAATGTGAAGAACCAAGAGAATCAAAGGATTCTAACCATGGCCTTCTTTTAAATCACTGAGCCAGAAGTTACTTTCACACTGAAAAAAGAAAAGAAAACACAAACCTCATTCCTAAAAGCCTCTTATGATTATGAGTATACTGTGCTATGACAACATTTACTTTCTACATTATTCATAATTTATCAGAGCCTCGATGTAGTCATATATCTAATATGACCCAGAAACACTTTCTAAAGTAAATGTGATTTTATAGAAACAAGATCCTAGGTTCAACTTTGCGTGGTGCTTCAGAGGTGCCGGGTTTTTTTAAAAAATATTGTCAATATCTCTTTCTCAGCAGGCAGAAAAGCGCTCAGAAGTGACTCTCTTGGTTGGGCCCCGATATGGCATAAGCCACGTCATAAACACCAAAACCAATCTGGTGGCACTTTTAGCCGACTTCAGCCATGTCAACAGAATCGAAATGTTCCCTGAGGAGGAAAACTTGGTGAGGGTGGAGCTCCACGTCCTGGATGTGAAGGTGAGTCTTTCAGATGTTAACACAAGGCCTTGATTTGAACACTGAATTTCTGATAACACTGCTGCTGTCTACAAAGCAGGCAAAAGTTTAATGTGTGCAGAGCATAACAGATGCCACGTGGTACAGAAAAAAATCCACACAACTCAGGCCCAAGGACTCCAGTCCTCATTAAATAGCTGTGTGATTTGGGAACAAGTAGCTATACTTCTCTGGGCTCAATGGTTTTATCTATATGTGAGAAAGCGAGCTGCATGATTTCTAGGTCCCTCTGACTTTAGAATATGTTAATCACAGAGAAAAAGAGAGATTTCCTTCCTCAGATTTCTGAACTAACTTTCTAGAATATATGACTCATAGAGAAAGGGAGATTTTTCCCAATTTTCTTTAGAATTCTCATTCCCTTTGTTTAGGTTGGGTCCATATATGTTTATTCTTTTGGAAAAGCTAAGTATTTTAGTTAATCTGTCTTCTCATGCTATAGCAATTGGTACTAATTGAACATGTGGTCTCCATAAATGTCATGGCCTTTCCATTTAAAACAACAATCTGAGATTACCCACAAAGGGTTAAACTCTACTCCCAAAGCAGAAGTTGACAGGACACAATCCAGGTCTCCTGTCCCCATCTTCTTTTCCCAGTAAAGATGAGTCAGTGGATTTTGGTTATATTAATATATCTCATATTTCTATGGAGAAAAGGCACCAGACCCAAAGGGAGACAGTGACTACACAAAGGAGACAGCCTCAGCCAGGAGGGGTGCCCTGAAAACATTCAGAGAAGACCCAGCCCTACCCCCAACTGCCCCCAGGGTGGTATCGGAGGGATGAATTAAGAGTAAGTAAAGTGGGTGAGGTGGCTCCACATCTGTAATCCTAGCACTCTGGGAGGCTGAGGCAGGAGGATCACTTGAGGTCAGGAGTTCGAGACCAGCTCTGAGCAAGAGCCAAACCCCGTCTCTACCAAAAATAGGAAAAAAAAAAAATTAGCCAGGAATGGTGGCACATGCCTGTAGTCCCAGCTACTCGGGAGGCTGAGGCAGGAGGATCGCTTGAGCCCAGGAGTTTGTGGTTGCTGTGAGCTAGGCTGACGCCACGGCACTCACTCTAGCCTGGGCAACAGAGTGAGACGCTGTCTCAAAAAGGAAAAAAAACAAAGTAAATGAGAATGTGGGGAAGGGTTTCTACAGAGCAGATCAGAGCACATCAGTGAGCTCTGCAGCAGGAACAGAAGGAGAGACCGTGGGGCTCAGACACGGTGGCTGTGGCCCATGGAAATTCATGGGCTGGTCCAGAGGGCTCCATTTGACTTCACAGCAAGCTGGAAGTGTGGGAATCGACTTGGAATGCCTGGCCTGGTCCATGACCAAAGACGCTGAGAGAAATAGCCTCACTGTGGGAAAAGGGCAGAAGAAAGGGTGAACTGGATATGGTCATTCTAGACCTGATGACAGAGATAATCTGTCCCAAACAGAAATGAGTGGCGAACCCCAGCTGCTGGTGTCCTGCCTGTGTACGATAATGGTGGGGTGGCTTAGAGGCTGAGGGGAGACCTCGACTGAAGCAGAAGGAAAGGCAGTTCAACAAGTAGTAAGGGGGCTTTGGGTGGGAAGTTATATTCCACTAGCCAGGAACATTCTACCTGGCCAGTGTCCTACATCTGAAAGTGAAAGCAAGAGGCCTGTCATCTTGCTGTCTCTGTGCCTGCCTCTCTTGGTATCTGCTTTTATTTTTATTTATTTTCTTTTTTTTGAGGCAGGCTCTCACTCTATTGCCCAGGCTAGAGTGCCGTGGCATCAGCCTAGCTCACAGCAACCTCAAACTCCTGGGCTCAAGCAATCCTCCTGCATCAGCCTCCTGAGTAGCTGTGACTACAGGCATGCGCCACCATGCCCAGCTATTTTTCTATATATTTTTAGTTGGCCAATTAATTTCTTTCTATTTTTAGTAGAGACAGGGTCTTGCTCTAGCTCAGGCTGGTCTCGAACTTCTGAGCTCAATCTACCCGCCTCCGCCTCCCAGAGTGCTAGGATTACAGGCCTGCGCCACGGCGCCCAGCCATTGTCTGCTTTTTTTAACACACCCTTCCTAACACAATGAGAAAAGTGGCTTCATTCACCACTTTCTTCCCTACACGCCCAAGATCCATGTCCAATCGTTTCCAGAAAGTTTTAGCAAGGCCTTTTCTCAACTCCCATCTCTGTTTTACCCTCCTGTGAACTTAGTTTCTTTAAGTATCCCTTTTCTGAATTTCTTTGACACTTTTCCTTCAGTCTTAGCAGTAATTTCCACTTGATTTTTACCTTCCTTAAATACTAATTTTCACCACAAACCCAAAACTTCATCTTCTTGTAATATTCAGATTGTGAATTCACTTCTAGTAACTGAAGTAACTGATAACTTACCACTTTTTCAAATGTTAACTATCTGGGAACAAAACCAATGCCATTTTTTTTTTTCATTTCGATGTGACTTTGAAGAGATCTAAAATGTCTAGGCTTTTTAACTGGTGTATCCTGAATGTTTTTTAGGAAGGCATTTTGTGCTATCCCTGACTTTTCCCTCCCCATTTGTGTTTCTCTGATAAAATGTTTGCTCAATAACTTCCTTTGTTTGCATTTCATAAGCATATATGCAGCCGTTGACACTCCAGGAGGCTGTTGAGAATGGATGGCTTTAACCAAAACGTTCTCTTTTGTGTAGCCCATCACGCTCCTGATGGAGTCCTCAGATGCCATGAACCTGGCCTGCTTGACAGCTGGATACTACAGGCTGCTCGTAGATTCCAGAAGGTCCATATTTAACATGGCCAACAAGAAAAACACAGCAACCCAGGACACAGGTATTCTCTTCCCAAACTCATGAAGCACTGACTCCCCGCCATACATACGCCCCACCTGACAATAGCAATAAGGATGTTTCTGGAAAAGGTAAAATTATACTCACAAAAAACCCTCGAATGCCCAAATTTAACACCAAAAGCCTTCCCATACTTCTGATGTGGCCTAATTATTTAAAATGAAAATGTGGATTTCTCACTACATTTGACACATCACTTGGAAATGTCCGGGGGCTTGCTTCAAAGGCAGTGATTTTATTGTTGTGAAAGTCTTTATGGCTGAGTTTTTATTGCCTCGTTCTTACAGAGGTCAGGAGGCAGAGAAGTAATAATGGAGTGCCCGGATAGGGGTTGCGAGCCCCTGCTCTAGGACTGGTCTCTCCTTCAGGTGGCCTAGGCCCAGGCGCCTGCGGGCCTCCTCCCTTTCAGTCAGACATATCCCAGGATTCTGGGAGCTTTACCAACAGGAGCACGTGAGAACTGCCTAGTGCTTGGACTTGGAGCTTCAAGAAGAGAATTATTCTACCCCGGCAGCCATCTTAGATCTATAATAGGAGCATCGAGATGGCAAAAGACATCAAATAATTCAATTCAGCCACTTGGCAGCACAGAATACCCCCAAAGTGAGGACAAGGAAGGCTGCAAATGTTAAGTTGACTGTTCCTTTGACAGTGGGTTGTTTTCATTTGTTTTAGGACATTTTTTCTTCACTTATTTAAGCGTTTTCCTCCATCTACAGTAGATGCTTACTAAATGTGGCTGAAGGACAGACACCACCATTTCAGGCAAAGTCACTGACCCATGAAGCAAATATAATCAGAGGTTCCATAATTATGGTTTCTTTTAAAAGAAAGGGGAACTCTTAAACACCAATTTCATTGTCACTTTTCTGAGAGAAAATTGGGGGAAGAAAAAAAAGGGAAGGAAAATCTTCTCACTTTTAAACTGAGCAGAAAACATAAATCTTTATTCCATAGATATTTTGTAGTATGTACATATACACACATGCACACGGACTTACATGCAACTTATTATGATGGCCAGATACAAGAGCAAGGAAGAGAGATGGACAAAGCATGTAAGAAGGCAATTTTGACTTTTGAGTCAGACAAATCTGAGATTTAAGCCAGCCCTATCTTGAGGTGTCTGGTTTTTTTAGTTTCTCTAAGCTTGGGTTTCCTAGTTTATAAGACTAGGATTAAAAACCTAGTTTGCAAGGTGAGGGTAGCAAACTATGTATATCACCTAATACACAGTACTGATGCTCGGTACTTCTACTAATAATTGGCAGTTTTGTTATATGTGTATATTGGGAAAAAATTAAATAAAACAATAATTGGCTGTAGAAAAAATGGTGGTGGAAAAAATTGAGACTGAAAATGATAGAAACACAGGAAAGAGAGGAAGACAGAACATGCGGCAAAGAAAGTCCCTGAGAGACCCAAATGTTTTCAAATAAATAGAGAAAGGGAAGGAACAAAAAGGAGGTGATATGTGTACACTGGGCTTGGTGGTAAACATTTTTATGACCACATGTTTTCATTGAGCTAGGAGATTTAGAGCCATTTAACATTGACCTTTGAAATTCCGAAGAGCAGTTCAGCCATTTGACACAATCCTTTCACATTGGAAAACCAGTTTTTGCCTTTTTATTTTCAAATCTTAAAGTTTATCTTGAAAATAAATCCTTTTCCCCATGGACTATAAAGATTGTAGAGGAGAATGAAGAAAACCAAACCTACCATTCTAAAAATGATTACAGTAATAAGGGTCTCCATTCTGTCCAATTTATAGTGACCCACAATATAATGTTTAATAGAACTTCGAGAGGCAAAAACTTAGTTACAAAAAAAGTGTTATTACTGTGGGGGAAAAAGAAATGGAACTTCAACCTTTCAGTAATTTCTCCCAGTTCTACAGCAAGAATGAGGGTGAGGGTACGTGTTCCAAATACCTCTCCCGATTCTAGGAGAGAGGGGTGGGGTGGGGGTGGGGCCAAGGGAGACAGCATACTCCACTCCAAAAAGAAACTGGTAGACCCTGGCCAACCATCCTCTAGTAGCTGAACATATTCCCTTCTCCTCAGAAACTCCCAAAAGATCTCCTAAGACCCCAAAAATAGAAAGAGTAAAGTCCGATTAGGCCAGTTCATCTCTACTCCATTCTCTCCTCCTACTCTGTGAGAGACGAGGCCACAGAATAGATTCCAGTTCCCAGCCTACACCCTTCCATGTCTCCAGAATCATCCCAGAAAGCTAAATCAGTATACTCTTCCGGAAGGAAGCCAAGCTTGAGTGTGTATTTTCTTCTCACCTCAAATTGATCATAGACCTTAGTCAGGATCTCAGATAAAGACCAATAAGCCCCCATTTCTTCATCTCTGTCTTAAAAATTAGCCTTCAAGCACTTTCAAAATCCATGGCCCCACCTATTTATGCATCTCTGGGCTTTAGGAGGGCCTAAGTAAGTAAGTATCCATTAACCTGCTTTTAGCTTGTTCACCCATTCAGTTTTCTTGTTGGTCTAAACCAAGAGTTGGCGAACTATGGCCAATGGGCCAAATCTTGTTCTTGTAAATAAAGTTTTATTGGAACTCAACCACACATATTATATTATTATACTTTCTTAGGGATGCTGTAACAAATTATCACACACTTGGGAGCTTTAAACAACATATATTTATTCTCTCACAGTGTTGGAGGCCAGAAGTCCAAAAATGAAGCTGTTGGCAGGGTCCTTTTCCCTCCAAAGACTTTAGGGGAGAATCCATCTTTGCCTCTTTCCAAGTCTGGTGGCTGTCAGCATTCCTGGTGGCTGCACAACTACAATCTCTGCCTCTGTTTTCACATGGCCTTCCCCTCTTCTCCGGGTTGCCCAAATCTCCCTCTGTCTTTGTCTTATAAGGACACTTGCCATTGGATTTAGGGCCCATGCAGATAATTCAGGATGATTCCATCTCGAGATCTTTAATTAAATCTGCAAGACTCTTTTTCCAAAACAGGTCACATTTACAGAGTGGACATATCTTTTGGGAGCCACTATTCAACCCATACACCCATTTGTTTATATATCATCTATGGCTACATTCATGTTACAACAGCAAAGATGAGTAGCTGTTTTACTGAACAATTGGCCCACAAAACCTAAAGTATTTACTATCTGGCCCTCCCTTTACAGAAAATGTTTGCCACCCCCTGGTCCAAACCTCTGTTACAATACAACTTTGCTGAACCACTCTCCTTTCTTGCAACAATCCACACTCCTCTCATACACACACACACACGCACACACACACACACACATACAGCCAGTATTCATCTAAATTGTTGTTAATATAACAATGCTGAACCCCTACAAGGTGTATTTATTATAAGGTAAGATACAGATATGACCAGTGTGTAATTCAGTGTCTTCAAAATTCTATCTTTTACTTGCTGTTCATGAAAATTTATTACAATGACTCTGAACATTGTTCAGCATTAAATCCATTATATAATTTGGGGGAAGCAAAAACCTTTTTGGTAAAACTGATTTTTTTCCTACATATCTTTCACATCTGATGTCAGTATTATCCAAACTTTTGATGGGGGCAATTTGAGGGAACAGATGGGAGAATAATATGGCACTAAAATTTCCTCAAAATGTTGCCTCTCGAATCTATGAAGCAATATTTACAGAGTGACCCAGTTTCCTGTCTTGTTAAATATCAGAACAAATCTCCACATCAAAATTCCAGATTGAAAGACCCTTGAAGAGCAAACAAAATAATAATATTTAAATTAGGGTTTTGCAATTTTAAATCAATGAGGAATATCAAACAAATCTTCAGGGGTTCCCATGATACAAACAAAAATTAAAATTAGTCTAAATATTAATTATGCTTAAAATAGCAGAGAGAAGTATGTTACCTGTGACCACCCCTTTATGTACTGTATACACACATACACATCCATGGCATGTATACCGATGTTTATACATGAATATGTTAATACCCACCCACTAGGATATAAAAAGGCTAAAGATAGAGGTTTTTGTGCTATTATTACAATATTTATTTTAATTTCCTAAAAAATATAATAGAAATATGAAGATCCTTGACCTTCTCTTCACTGGACGAGGACAAATTCCAATATCTTCTCTACAAAGTGGGGAATGTTAGGTCTTACTTTACAAAGAAAAGGGCAATTTATTTTCTGGAATAACAGCCTCTTGAAATCTCACCTTTAAGGACTGTAAAAGACTTGTTGTATGTTCACATTCACAGACGTAAATGAGGTCTTTTAATAATTTAGGTGGAATTAAGCTATAGTTCCCTACTCCCAGATAGTATTACATTTTATCAAACAGCAATTATCTTTTATGCAGTATCTGTTTTGTTAAGGTCAATTCTCCTAACCAAGGAACCTTTACACCTGAAGCCTATTTGGACCTGTACCAGATTTGGAAAGTTGAATAACTGTATTTGCACAAGTGATTCTACAAGCTATGAAATTAAGAAAGAGACGAGCACGCCTGCACCCCTCCCCCCCAAAAAAAATAAAAACACCAGACAACACAGTAACGTGTCTTTGCATGATTCTTTCTCTTTAGGAACTGAAAACAAAGGCAAGCATAACCTCCTTGGCCCAGATTGGAACTGTATACCCCAAATGACCACCTTTATTGGCGAAGGGGAACAAGAAGCCCAGATAACATACATAGATTCCAAACAGAAGGCGGTTGAGATGACAGATAGTGCCATGTGTCCGAAAGAGCACCGGCACTTGTTCATAGACAGCACCTACAATTCGGATGAACTTAGCCAGCCACTGACCCAGCCCGGGGAAGCCCCGTGTGAGGCGGACTACAGAAGTCTCGCGCAGCGGTCCCTGTTGACCCTCTCAGGACCAGAAACTCTGAAGAAAGCACAGGAATCTCCGAGAGGAGCCAAAGTGTCCTTTATTTTTGGAGACCTTGCGTTGGATGATGGGATTAGTCCCCCAACTCTCGGCTACGAAACACTGTTAGATGAGAGTCCAGAAATGCTGGAGAAGCAGAGGAATCTCTACATCGGCAGTGCCAATGACATGAAGGGCCTGGATCTCGCTCCGGACGCGGAGAGCATCCAATTCGTGGCAAATTCTGTTTATGCAAACATAGGCGATGTGAAGAGCTTCCAGGCCACTGAGGGGATCGAGGAGCCCCTCTTGCATGACATCTGCTACGCAGAGAACACCGACGACGCAGAGGATGAGGATGAGGTGAGCTGCGAGGAGGACCTCGTGGTGGGGGAGATGAACCAGCCGGCCATCCTCAGCCTGTCTGGGTCAAGCGATGACATCATTGACCTCACGTCCCTGCCCCCTCCGGAAGGCGATGACAACGAGGATGACTTCCTGTTGCGTTCTTTGAACATGGCCATCGCCGCACCTCCACCCGGCTTCAGAGACAGCTCAGATGAGGAGGACTCTCAGAGCCAGGGAGCTTCATTCCGCGAGGACAAGGAGCAAGGCAGCAGCCTCCAAAATGATGACATCCCCGTGTCCCTCATTGACGCTGTGCCCACCAGTGCCGAGGGCAAGTGTGAGAAGGGACTGGAGAGCGCCGTCGTCTCCACGCTGGAAGCTCTAGAAGCTCTATCTGTTTCCGAAGAACAGCAGACCAGTGACAATTCAGGTTCTTTCACGATTGTTACATTTATTCACTGATACCCATGTCATTTCATCCTTTCAAGCCATTTGCTCTTGGAGTCCTGTTATGTGCTGTTCTCCATTTCACGCATGTCCCATTTCATAAATGTGCTGAAACTACCATCATGGGTTTCTTTTTTTTTTTTTGAGTCGTGATTTCCTTTGTTGTTTTTTGTTTTGCTTTGTTTTTCAGTATGGCACATCCCTCCCCTCCCCCCATTTCCGGAACACCTGTGCAATAAACTCAGAATCCTTACTGAAAAGGGAAAAACTTGGTATTTTTTTTTATAATCATGAGTCCCATTTTCGTACATGTCTCCAAGTGCCTGTGATGCATGCATTAACCCGTTCTTGTCTTTTACGGCATGCAGGTGTGGCCATCTTGCGGGCTTATAGTCCCGAGTCTTCGTCAGACTCGGGCAATGAAACTAACTCTTCTGAAATGACTGAGAGTTCTGAACTGGCCACAGCACAAAAGCAGTCAGAAAACCTCTCCCGCATGTTCTTGGCCACTCACGAAGGCTACCACCCCCTTGCAGAAGAGCAGACGGAGTTCCCCGCCTCCAAACCCCCGGCTGGGTCCTTGCCTCCGAAGTCCTCCCACGCCCTGGCTGCTCGGCCGGCCACCGACCTCCCGCCCAAAGTTGTGCCTTCCAAGCAGATACTTCACTCAGACCACATGGAGATGGAGCCTGAAACCATGGAGACCAAGTCGGTCACTGACTATTTTAGCAAACTGCACATGGGGTCGGTGGCGTATTCCTGCACCAGCAAAAGGAAAAGCAAGCTGGCTGATGGGGACGGGAAAGCACCCCCTAATGGAAACATGCCAGGAAACAAACAGCAGGGGACCAAAACAGCTGAGCTGGAGGAGGACACCGGTGGTAAATTTGGTACTGTGTCTTCGAGGGACAGCCAACACCTAAGCACTTTTAACCTGGAGAGAACTGCCTTTCGCAAGGACAGCCAAAGATGGTATGTGGCCACGGAAGGTGGGGTGGCTGACAAAAGTGGATTGGAGGCAGCCACGGGGAAAACCTTCCCAAGAGCTTCTGGTCTTGGGCCAAGGGAGGCCGAAGGGAAGGATGAAGGAGCTCCTGATGGAGAAGCCAGTGATGTTTCGGGACTTGGCCAAGGGGACCGCTTCTTAACTGACGTGACCTGTGCATCTTCAGCCAAAGACTTAGGTAACCCAGAGGATGCTGACTCATCCGGCTGCGACCATCCCTCCAAGCTTCCTGAGGCAGAAGAAAGTGTAGCCCGCCTTTGTGACTACCACTTGGCCAAGCGGATGTCATCGCTGCAAAGCGAGGGCCACTTTTCTCTGCAGAGCTCCCAAGGCTCTTCAGTGGATGCAGGCTGTGGCACCGGCAGCAGCGGCAGTGCCTGCGCCACTCCTGTAGAGTCGCCGCTCTGCCCCTCCATGGGGAAGCACCTGATCCCTTCAGAGGAGAGAGCCCCTGGGCTTCCCGGCCACGGAGCCACCTTTAAGGACCTGCACCCACAGACGGAAGGGATGTGTCCACGGATGACAGTACCTGCTCTGCACTCAGCCATTAATGCCGAACCCCTGTTTGGCACTTTGAGAGATGGATGCCATCGGCTCCCCAAGATTAAGGAAACCACAGGTACAGCAATGACGGATCTAGTACTTTGCATTACACGCCAGGAGCATGTAAACCAAATTTACAACAAACCCAAAAGTAAAAAGTCTGGAAGAAAAGCAAAAGTTAGAATAACAAAAGGCCACAGAACTGTTAAGTAGCAATTATTGATCCCCTGGTGTTTAATAAATACTAAAGTTTCTAGATCTGGAACAATGGTGGAAATGGCATTTGCTCTTTATAATCTTGCTCTGTGCTTGTTTTTAGAATTTGGTGGAGCGGTATTTTTTTCCCTAAATTCTAAATGCAAACTTTTAGCAGTGCCCAGTGTGACTTTTAGTTACAAGGTGTAGTATTGCTTAGAATCACATCATAGTTGATTTCCTTTCCAAGACATCTGATTTCCAATTCTGTCATTTTGCTGTTGAGAGACAAGGAAGGATAAGAGAGCAGGGCATCAGGGAGATTGGAGGGGTTTGGAGGGATCATTTGTCATTCAGCAGTCATACAGATTCCTCCCTACTCTGTAAGACTCCACTAAAGGAATATTCTGAAGTGTCTGGCATACCCCAGTGTCAGGAAGATTTGGAGGCTATTTGTGATAAGCTGTTTTATTTTCCCTAAAATAATTAAATATAGACACATGCAGAAAGAAGTACACAGTCACCTTTTGTTCCCCACCTTCACCAGTTTACCACCCAGTTGGCTGGCAGTCACATGGCGAAAGCAGATGCTCTTTAAATTATATCATCAATACGGTCTTTTCCATATAGATCAATAGATGCTAGTGAGATCTTATACTGGTCAATTTCTGCTCCTGCCCTTTTAAGACTTTCTGCTTTCTCAAAACCCATCACTAGCTTCACCTACCTTGGAAAAGCCATCTGTGAATGTTATTTAACTCATCACCCAACTGCATCTTTACCTCCAAACTAATTAAATCACACTGTTTAATTCTTCATTGTTTACAAAGAGCTTCACCTAAGTTACCTGGTGCTCCTCACATAAATTCTGTGAGATGAAGATTATTTTCTTCACATTGCCTTTTCTAAGAATAGTTTAGCAACTGGCCCAGCATCTCAACTTCAGATCCCGTACCAAGCAAACCTCATTTTAAAAAACATTAACTTACTTAATTTGCATTAATTAAGTTAGGCCACTTCTTGAAAAAAAAAAGTAACTGATGCCAGGATTCATCTAACTCCCTTGAAATGAAACTTAAATATCTTCAATATATTTGAATAATCTGTACATAGGATGTTTGTTTTCTATGTGTCTAAGCTTTGATAGGTAAATATTGAGAGCAAGGCAATTCATAAAATACCATTGTCTCCCTAAAAGTGTTTGGGATTTCTAGACAATTCCAAATAAATCACTACTTCCAGAAATAACAGATTCCAGTATTTCTTGGCATACATTGAAATGGAAATCTGTTATGCAATATCAGGAGGTGGCCTTTAAAAGCAGGGTGATCCTGGCATATGGCAGCCCTTCTAGAATGCATTCTTAGGAAATAACAGACATCATGTAGAAATGTAGTAAAAAATGGCCTCCCAGAGATGCTTAATGATTCTCTCTGTTTTTCTACTACCCCTAGTGTAGCTTTGACAGAGCCTGGGAAGGAGAGACAAGGAGGCATGCCTTCAGCTTGGTCTCAACATCTTGAAGCTGATCCCATCCTGCTACCATCAAACATTCACTCGGAATCAAAGGTGCCAATTCCAAATCAAGACCCTAATGATTTCTCTCAAGCAAACCAGGCATATGGAGAGGCTGTGAGCTGGCGGCCACCGGATCTGAGAGGGGGGAGCCTCAGGGCAACCCCCAGCCAGAGAGCTCTGAAACATAGCAGCAGTATCCTCTTAGGATCTGTAGGTTTGGAGACCTTCCGAGAGAGAACCAGGGGTGCAGTCAGCTTAAAGTGTCCAGGCATCACAGAAGCACAGGAGGCCAGTTCGGAAAGGCGAGCAGAACTCCCCCTAGGGAAGAAGCTCACCAAAAGTTTTTCCCAAAGCTCAATGCACTTAAGCTCTGAGGGGAAGTTTCACAAAAGGTCCCCAGTGGCTCATAAAGACTCAAAGCTCTATAGGACATTACCCTTGCGGAAGCTGGAGGGCAGCAATTGGAGATGCCGGGGTCCCTTCAGCTACTGCTTCCTGAACCGAGGGCAGGATGAAGATGGTGATGAGGAGGAAGAGGAGGGAGAGGCCACCCGCCAGGTGTCTTGCCTTTATCGACCACAGATGACTCAGGCCATGTCAGAACCAACCAGCCTCTCCCTGGCTGTTGGGATTCAGAAGCAAGGAGGGGAGCTATCCAGAGGTTCAGTGCTGAAGGTCTGGACAGAAGACCTGAGTGGCCCAGATGACTTGGACTTCAGCAACCTGGCTTTTGATGCCCGGATTGCAAGAATAAATGCCCTAAAGGAGAGCACATATGCAATGCCTGATGGGTTCCTCGCAGCCCAAAATGATGCCAATGAGCTGCTCTGCCTCGTCAGGGCAACCAAGGAGAGGAGAGAGGAGTCACGCCCTGAGGCGTACGACCTTACACTTTCTCAGTACAAGCAACTGTTATCCATCGAGTCCAGACAATTGGGAAGTGCCTGTAGGAAAATGGCGATGGCTGAGAAAAGCCCAGAGGAGATGCTCCTAGCTATGACTTCCAGCTTTCAAGTGCTCTGTTGCTTAACAGAAGCTTGCATGCGATTAGTTAAAGTCGTGAACTCAGAAACACAGCAGCAGGAAATTGTAGGGAAGATCGATGAAGTGGTCATAAACTACATTTGTCTCCTGAAAGCTGCCGAGGCAGCCACTGGAAAGACTGGGGACCCTAATGTTGGACTCTCGGCGCGACATTCAACCACCATGGCCGCTCTCGTAAGCACACTAACACGTTCTCTCAAGAGGCTTTTAAATAAATAAATATGAAAGTCACGTCATAATCTACCTTTGCAAAGCCATACATGAACTTTTATTTACTTTATGTGTACGATGAACAGATGTCTCCTTTCTTCTCTCTGTATATTTTGTTATTTTATATAAAATAGGAGATAAAAGTCACATTGATGAAATGTTGAAATGTACTAATCAGATGTATTCTGTTTATATTATGCATATATATATACACGTAAAAGAAATATCCAAGAAAGTGATGACATTTGGCTATTTTTCATATAGTCAAAACTCCAGGTATATGAGATGTGAAATTTTAAATTCTATCGTGTTAGAGCAAAACAATGAATCCTTTCCCCTTTCTTTCCAAGCAAATACTTGGAGACCGTATCATTCATATTTAGAAGTAAAAAAACAAAACAAAACAAAAAAGAGAAAAGAAAAGAAATCACAGTGTATATAAAACAGTACTTATGTTTTAAAATTATGATTTTTAAGCATTGGAAATAGCAAAAAGACATTTAAAATTCAAGAAGCTATTATGAATTAGTAGAGAATATATCTATAATAAATTAATTTTTTTGCTCATAGTGTTTGGTTATAAGATGCTTTCTTCCAAGAATCCCACATATTTAATTTGGGTTTATGCTATTTGGTCTACAAATGTGTGGGGGGATGGATTCTACTGTGTCAATACAAATGCTCTTCACAGTGTTTCTAGAATTTAAAAACTTCCCAAATAGAAGAACAGAGGGAATGATGGGCAGGTTCCTAGGTAATACCTAGAGTTATAGATTATCTCATTACATAAAATGTGTTGAATTAATAATATCCAAACTAGTTATTTTATGGAGAGATCTGCTTTGACTAAATGTCAAAAATCTATGAACCAAAGACATTATTTTCCCTCCATCCCAACTCAACCATGAAACTTAACATTCCCTTTAGAGTGACAGAACGTTTAGTAAAGTATTTGCAAACTTACAAAAAGGAACATTTAATATTAGATCATCAAAATTAGGTACAGACCCAGTAATGTAGACCAGACCACACACCAGCACCTATGAGTCACATCTTAGATCGCAGCTCTCAGCATATGGCTTCATACATCACCGCCTCTACAGGGACCAAGGCTGCCAATCAAGTTTGGAATTCCAGCCTAATATCAGGACAAACTCTCAAATCTGGGATGTTGCAGGAAATCAGGGAGAGATGGCTACTCTAATAATGGAAGCCATGACTAGATAAATAGTAAAGTGTTTATTAAGAATATACTTATTTGGATTGGCTGAATTAAAAATATGAAATCTGAAAAAAAAAAAAAAAAGAAAGAAAGAAATAGAAGTGGTGAGTTTGACCAGTTCAAGTGAAACCAATGGAATGCAAAGAAGTTTTCAGGAGTGTCAAACCTCCAAAAATACCCTGCCATCGTAAAATAAAGTCATCATGTACATATGTATTTCCTGGGTCATTCAGTGCTCAAACTACACGTACTCCTACTTATGTTCGTGGCTCCTTAGAATATGACAGGAGTACACCAGTTACAAATATTTCCATTTTTGTAACCTACTGGGCAGGAGGCATAACACAGTCCACAATTGCAATCTCTCTCTAGTAACCCACATGTTTACAGATAGCAGCAAAGAAAGGGGGTTTAGGTGTGTGTTATTATAAATAATGTTTAATTAAATAATAAAACATTATTTCATTACAACTATAATTATAAATATTGGTGTTTTGATATTGAGAGATATTAGTGGTGTTTACTGTGGAAAATCTTAGTAAATATCATTCTGTGTACAAAAATCCTGACCTATTAATAGGATGTGTGCCCTATGTCAGTGTGCTAAACATATCACCTATATTATCTCATTTAATCATCACAACAATCTGCTGGTTTGGACACTATCCTTAATTTTCTCTGGAGGCAATATGGTTGAGTAAAGATATGGGGTTTGGAGTCAGAAACATCTTGATTTAAGTTTTGACTCTGCCATTTTCTAGCCCTTTCATCGTGGGAAAGCTATTTTTTCTAAGTTTTAATTTCCTCATAATAAAATGGAAATCAATAATAAGATCTATTTCCATGGAGTTGTCATGAGTTTTGAGTAAAATTATGTATGTAAACTTCTTAGCCACAATACCTGGCAGAGAGTAAGTACTCAATGTTAGATATTATTATCATCATAATCATGGTGTTGAATATATTGCCCAAGATAATATGTGGGGGATGTTTGTTTTATATGCATATTGTATCCTGACTCTGTATGTAGAACACATTGTATGTATTTCATATATATATATATAAAAGTGTACAAGGAAGTGATGATCCTTGTTCAAATCACATATCTATTAGAGTTAGAACAACTTCCCAGTCCATTTGAGTTCTTTGAGAAGCCTCAGGGAAATAGCTCTGGGTCTTTCTAATCAATCTCCCATTACCTGTGGCTGCGCCAGTAAGTTTCTGTTTCTTATAAATAAATTCTTTGCTACTCAGAAAACCTCAAGGGGCCCCCGCATTCACTAAGCATGGGGCTCCTAACTGGGGTCCAGGTTCACTAGAGTGTAGAAATAACATATTAAAATGATACTTGTGCGTATTTTTATCTAGCTTTTTTTATGTTGTGTATGTTTTATAATGGCATAATAGTACAGTGATATATGTACATAATTTTAAATAAATAAACGAATGAATAAATAAATACGTATATGCCTGGTGCATGCATGCAAAACTATTGTCGCAGGTAGGGTTTGCATTCACTAAAGTTTGGAGAGCACTGTACTAGAGAATAAAACTTCCTTGCACCCAAGCTCCTTTACATTTAGTTACCAGTCTACCTTTCCAAGTTTATTTCCTGCCATTTTTATTAATCTTTTATTACAAAACTTTCAAGTTTATACAAAAGTAGACACAATCCTATAATGAATCAGTGTGGACTCATCACACACCAACTCATGTCCAATCTTATTTTCTGTATTTCTACCCGCTTCCACACTGTATAGTTTAAACGCAAATCCCAGACATCATAGCACTTTATCCATTGATATTTCAGTAAGAATATCCTATAAGAACTTTAAACATAGTAATGATGCCATTTTCACATTCAAAAAATTAGTAATTCCTTAATATTATCAAATAAACATTGCAGAAATAAATGATGGAGAAAGTACAAGACCCCTATAAACTCAACCCCCAAAGACAATCATTGTCCACAATTCAGGGCATTTTCTTTTATTTTTTTCTCTATTTATACTAAGGTTATTGTTATTGTACCATTTGTGAGTTTTGCTTTTGGTTCAGAGACTTGGTCTGGTCTCAGTTCCATCATATTTCATGTAAGGGGATTGGTCATAAGGGTTATGATTGATGTGGAAAGATGGAATGCTCAGATGAACAACCACTACAGCATTGAGCTTCTAGAAAAATCCAACAACTAATACAATTGCTCAGATATTAAAATTAACACAGACCCCACTGACCCCAGACTCAGTAGGAATCAGTCTAATCACAAAAGAAATTATTTTCCAGAAAGAAAGCCTGACAATAAATATTGAAATCACTAGCTATAGCAATACTACAATGGCTCAATGCCTTTGACTATGAATTTCATCTTTCGTATGAGCTGTCTTAGGAAAGACATCTTCATTTTTTTGTATCCCACTCTCATATATTTCTTGAGACAGTCTCTCTCTGTTGCCTGGCTAGAGTGTCGTGGCGTCAGCCTAGCTCACAGCAACCTCAAACTCCTGGGCTCAAGCAATCCTCCTGCCTCAGCCTCCCGAGTAGCTGGGACTACAGGCATGTGCCACCATGCCCAGCTAATTTTTTCTATATATTTTTAGTTGGTCAATTAATTTCTATTTTTACTAGAGATGGGTTCTCGCTCTTGCTCAGGCTGGTCTCAAACTCCTGACCTTGAGTGATCTTCCCACCTCGGCCTCCCAGCACTTTCATATATTTCTAAATCCCAGTTATTAATTTTCTGAAAGTTAATTATGAGCTAATCAGGATATTGGTATAATTTTTACTGCCTGGATTACTCTTGATTTGGCAATGGGGGCAGTTTGTTTACTGACTGCTTATCACCTTTCATAATTGTGTGAACTATTTTTGAAATTGAAAACAAACAAGTTAGCTTTGTTTAGGTAATTCCTTATCTCTTCCAAACATTGAAAAATCTTTATGGGGATCAAAATGCATGAATATTGCATTTTGTCTCTAACCTGACTTTGTCTTTGCTTTGAAAGTGGTCAATTTTGATGTGTGTGTGTGTGTGTGTGTGTGTGTGTGTGTGTGCATGGACATATAGAGGTGTAGGATGGGGTTGAATAGATAGGGATGTGTATATGTGTATGTGTGTGTGTCTGTCTGTGAGACCAGCTATCAGTTTGGCTTTATGGATTTCAGTGCTACTTTCCCTGCTGCCACTGCAAATCTATGACAAAAAAATTTTATATATAACATCCCAAATCTTCCTTTAAAGTCAGGTTGCAGCAATAGCTTCTCAGCTTTGGAAGATCAAAGAGTAGGAATCTCACCTTTTGAACTGAATTTTTATTCATATCAACTTGAACATCATTGAATTGGATACTTTTTAGTTATTCTACCTATTCCCTGGCCTACTCATCTCATTGTTTTAATTTCAAAGCCTATAGATAGGAAATCCATGGAAGAACAGTCCATGTCTTTATCAAATATTTTTGCTACACAAAACAATGGAATGACCTAAATCCTACATTACTGAAAGAACAATCAATTATCCAAAGTAGCTTATTTCACCATTCAACTTCAAATTAACCTGCTGCTTTCCACTGCACTTTCTCTAATCTTTCCTACATATTTATAATTGTACCTCAATTTTCTGTTACACATTAATTTCAGAGCATTGGATTTTGGTTTTGGTTTGGGGTTTTTTTTAATTATTATTCCTGTTAATTATGATTTTCACCTGATCAAGTCACGCCCATCCAGGATAATCTCCCTTTTGATTGCCTAAAAAATAACTTATTGAGGCTGGGTGTGGTGGCTCACGCCTGTAATCCTAGCACTCTGGGAGGCCAAGGCGGGTGGATCGCTCAAGCTCAGGAGTTCGAAACCAGCCTGAGCAAGAGTGAGACGCACCCCCCCATCTCTACTATAAATAGAAAGAAATTAGCCAAACAACTAAAAATAGAAAAAATTAGCCAGGTGTGGTGGCACATGCCTGTAGTCCCAGCTACTCGGGAGGCTGAGGCAGGAGGATTGCTTGAGCCCAGGAGTTTGAGGTTGCTGTGAGCTAGGCTGACGCCACGGCACTCCCACTAGCCTGGGCAACAAAGCGAGACTCTGTCTCAAAAAAAAAAAAAAAAAATCTTATATTTTAGCAGGCCGCCAGGTGTGGTGGCACATGCCTGTAGTCCCAGCTACTCGGGAGGCTGAGGCAGGAGGATTGCTTGAGCCCAGGAGTTTGAGGTTGCTGTGAGCTGGGCTGTAGTCACAGCACTCTAGCCTGGGCAACAGAGTGAGACTCTGTCTCAAAAAACAATAATAATAATAATAACTTATTGAGACCTTAAGTGCATGTCCAAAATTGCCTCACCTTTGCCATATGCTACTGGCTAGAAGCAGGTCACAGGTCGTGCCTGTGCCCCAAGGGAGAGAGATGTACAGGGCATGAACACCAGGGGGGAGTCATGGGGGCCACCTTAGGGACTATCTGCCATGCCCACCAAGGCCCTTCCTTCCGCTATAGACTCAACAGATCGCACATTCCTCTGGACAAAATAGTATAGCCATTTGAAATACAGACTTGAAAGGCTTTCAGGGTCCATAGTCCTAACATGAGTCATTAAGGGCTACATGGGAAGCCCTCAGCCTTCTCTGCCCTGGTCCAGGCCCATTCTCTAGATATATTTCTGTGTCAGTGTGCCAAGTTGCTCCCAGGATGGAAACTCCAATGATTATAACGTATTGACCTATGCACGTAAGGATTTTATTAGTGCTTTAGGTGAGCATTTTGGGGTAATATGACTTTTTTCATTACACTCATTTTAGAGTCAAGTTATGACTTTGGGATCAGGTTAGATCGAATAATTCAACTGGCAGATGGATTATTAGAGATGCTGAATTTTAACTAGTGTAGCCATGCCTTTCTCAAGTATTTATGGGGCAGGAGAATGAGGTCAGCTCAGGTTGCTTGCTCCTAAGTTACTCTGGAAGCAGAGCCCATGCATTCAAGTTCAGCTTCCCCAATATGTTCCACTTGGAACTCCTGGCCAGAGAACCCTGAAAGGATACTGTTGCCTCCATGCAGTCTCCAGAAGAGAGAAGCATGGAACAGGGCTCATTTCTTTCTAGATTCCATGACC